CCGACAACTGGCACGACGTGGCCTGCGCCTTTGACAAAATCTCACAGTACATCTGTGAGAAAGCAAACAAAACATCGGATCCTTCAGGTTCAATGATTTTACATCTGCTTAGCTTAAAAGTAACTTCTTACACAGAACCTATTTGTCTACAAACTGTACATTTCCAAACCGGTCAGGGCCAAAGGTAATATGGTATGCCCCGAAGACGATATGTCAAGTAAAATAAATAGAACGTTGTTGTTCACATATTCACAGTGCTGATCGGAGGAGCTGCAGCGGTTATGTTGGAGACTTATGACGACAGTGATGCCAAGGCTGGTTATTACTTCCCTTGCACAAGCGGCGAGTACATATCTGCCCTGTACACATGTGACGGAAGTATCGACTGTACTGATGGTACTGACGAGGAGAACTGCACTTCAGGTACAGCGTTCAGTTTTGCTGAACGTTACTTTGCACAATCAACGAGAGATATCACGTTTATCAGAAGATTCATTTTCTCACAATAAACGCTAGAGACGCTTGATACCCGTGAAGATCCGGGTTAGAATTGGTCTTCATTAACCCATACTTGTTGTAAAAGGCGACTAACGGGATCGGGTGGTCAGGCTCGCTGACTTGGTTGACACATGTCATCGTATCCCAATTGCGTAGAACAATGCTCATAATATTGATCACTGGATTGTCTGGTCCAGACTTGATTACTTACAGACTGCCATCATATAGCTGGAATATTGCAGAGTGCGGCGCAAACAACAAACCAACAAAACCAAGAAACGCTTAAACTGTTTCAAATTGTCATGTACAGACAACAAGGTAGTCCAAAAATATTGGAGTTTACCCTATATGAGAATGGAGGGTATTCAATTTCAAACTGGTTTTGAAACACCACAGTCTCAGACTCTTTCTCGATCATTCAGACGCCTGCCCACATGGCATGTTCACCTGCTCTGATGGAGGATGTATTGACTTTGCCTTCTACTGTGACTACAAGGAACACTGCAAAGACGGGTCGGATGAAGCAAAGTGTGGTGAGAGTTGGTAACGTTACCGTATATTTTAGTGTAACACTTTTCTCTAAATTTTGTTGCAATTATCCCGCCGTGAATATTGCCAAAAACGGCGTAAACTATACTCAATCAATCAATCAATCAATCAATTTCTACATGCAGCAACAGTGAGTTTTTTACCTTCTGGTCATCTTTCCACAATCTATTTACAGAAAATACTAGGTCAGAAAACATATAATAAATGTATTTAATTACTATTATTAGTATTGGAATCACTGAGATAAGATACACAAAACATATTCAAAGACGTTTATTCATTGTATGAAGGGGATTTGTGAGGGTGTATTGAATATACTTGATATATTGTATATGAATATTTGTATGAATATACTTATGTGAATGCATTCTTCATGTACTATGTAAAATGTGGAAATAAAGATGATAAAAAAATAAATATATATATATATGTTGGTGAAACCATTTTGTTAAGAACCGGTTATGTGACAAACCCTTGTCAGTGATATGTTATCAAATAATATTTGCAAGAAATCATCAAATAAGCATGGCTATTGTAAAAAAAAAAAAAAATCAATAAAAATCAGTCAATCAATCAATGTTGCAACTAGAACATTCTGTCCCGCAGTGTCCCGTGAATGTTCCTCTGACCAGTGGAAATGCAGCAGTGGACAATGTGTGTTAGCTGACCAGAGATGTGACCTCCTACAGGACTGCACGGACAGATCAGATGAAGAGAACTGTGGTAGGTTCCCATCTATTGGAATAAGAGCAAGATAACTCAAGTGGAAATTCGTCATAGATACATGACGTTGTTTTAAGACATTCATCGTACAGGTTTACTATCTCAATGTAGCCAAGCGGCGTTAAACCAGCACTCACTCACCCTGTAGTAGTTCACACACCTTATGGTCCAGAAATGACAAATTTGCACCCCACTGGGGTTCATGGGGGTTAATGGGTTAACAAATAAATACCTTTGACCTCCTTTAGATCCCTCATCATCGGCTGTTGTTGTTTTTTAACTTAAATGACAATTTGCTGTCTATCGTGATCGCTTTTGGAACAGAACGCTGTATTCTGTAATCTATTCTTTGGGCTATACTTCTTTGTTATTTCCAGAACTATGTCGGGAACCTTTCTTCCAGTGCTATGACGGACGGTGCTTGCCCCCTACCAGGGTATGTGACGGTTTCGTGGACTGTGGAGGGAAGTACAGAGAAGACGAGGGTTCACAGTGTACCACAAACAGTCAGCCGTCCTGTAGGGCGTGGTATGCCCTTGGGGCAAGGGACGATGGCAAATACAGCATAGTCCCGCAGGGAACGTCCGGTACGATACCTACATGATTGAATGCGATCTGACTGATGTGTAGATGTAGTAATGTTAACCAGCATGCATACTGGTTAGAGACGGGTTTCCATAAAAAAAATCCTTTCATCATTAAAACAAATTGAACTTTCGTAGGCCACAAAGAAGAAATTACCCATTTTTAGTCGGAAAACATTTTCAGAAAGAAGAATGATACTACATTGCAAAACAGACGATTCAAATGTTATTCATATCGTTTCTAAGTATAGTGTTATGCTATTTTATGTCTATATATAATGTGGATGTAATCATAACATAAAGGTCTTCATACCGTAATTGCAGCCTTGGACCCCTATCACGTAAATAATGTGTCGATGTGTCTCAACGCTTGAACTTCTCTCTTCCAGAATCTTTTTCTGTGGAATGTGCGTTCAACATGACTGGGGAAAAGATCACAACCATAGTTCACCATGACATGGAAGACTGGACAGTGACTGCAAATTCTGTATATCAAGAAGATCTTCATTACACTCTCCCAGAACGTGTCATTGCTTATGTCATGTCCATATCTAACACATGCCGCCAGTCGGTGCACATTGACTGTCTCCAGGCGTTTGATTTGGTTCAAGAATTCTCCGCATGGTATGATGTTAACAAGGAAAGGAGGACCTTTGTGGCTGATCCCGGAAGTAACTGTAGCTGTATTCTCACCGATGTCTGTGTTGGTAACATTACTAAGTAAGTATTCCATTTCAGCTACAAGCATGTGTTTCCATAATTAGTCAATATGTTGAAAGATTGGTTCAACTGGTGTCGAAGAGTATAATGAAAACGTTAAGGAATAGATGTGAAAGGCTTGAAGATGAATACGGTGTCATTATTGCTAAAAGTATTGTTGGGTCATCACTGTGATAAAGGGCGTTGGGGTAGCCTTGTGGTGAAAGCGTTGGCTCGTCACGCCGCAAACCCCGGTTCGATTCCCCACATGGGTACAATATGTCAGTCAAGCCCATTTCTGGTGTCCCCCGCCTTGGTATTGCTGGAATATTGCTAAAAACCGTATTCACTCACTCACTGTGGTAAAAAAAAGAACACAAAGAACATTATCTTTATATTCAGGGAACCAGTCGATGTATCAGAGGTTACATCATGGAGGAAATATTCATTTTTGTAAGTCAGACATATGGGCATATGCATGCATTTGTTATAAAATGTTTTTAACCTGGATAATACATCTGGCATATGTACTATGCTCAGGTGCGCCTGTGACAAGACGAGAAGGGAGCTCTTTATGGTGGATGACAACGTATGGTTTACCGACAGCGGGTACCTTGATGACATGGACAGGTTACCAGTAACAAGGATATGGATGGATGACACCCTGCGGTTAGGCCGCGTGAGACATACGGTCGGGCCTCTGATCTGTGAGGAACGTAAGTGGATTATCACTAAATAACGTACAGTACTTCTGAGAACAGGGCCGGTTGGGTAGACCAGTGGTTAAAACGTTTGCTCGTCACGCCGAAGGCCCGGGTTCGATTGCCCACATGGGTACAATGTGTGAAGCCAATTTCTGGTGTCCCCCGCTGTGATGTTGCTGGAATATTGCTAAAAGCGGCGTAAAACCATACTCACTCACTCATTCTGAGAACAAGACTTTAACTGTGAGTTGTTACTGCTCAGTAACAAACGAATAAGATGAAAACATCGAGAAGTTTTTAGGTAAATATGTCTGAAGACATTTTTGTTATGCAAATATCAACGAAATGAAATCTGTCGTTTCAGGATTACAGTCCAACACGAGTTCCCTGATGTGTGCGAGCGGCGTAGTTGTCGACATCTCTCACAAATGCATCCTGGATTACGACATCTATCAGCACTACACAGGATGTCGAGACCTCACACACATACAGGATTGTGGTATGATACAATCCATATAGTTTGTCTATATTGTTACAATCTGTTCATGAACCGTTTCTATCTGCCTCTGAACCCCCAAGTCTTCAAGCATTATATACCCATCATGCCATGGTGTAGACTGTATGATTGCCTAACATTGTGTATATGGTGCTCTATTTGACAGAGAAGCACGAGTGCCCAGCTGACCACATCAAGTGCCCCTCCAGCTTCTGTATCCCTATCAGGCTGGTCTGTGACGGACGCCCTGACTGTGCTGACGGGATGGACGAAATAGGATGCAGTAGGTTTCCTTTCATCTGTTTTGATATGATGGAAATTGAAAGACAATAGCATCGGAATATCATACAATTGTTTATGTCCACATGAAGCACCACCACATATCACGTCCTCAACGGTTTCGCTAGATTGAAATATAACACCTGAAAAACGCCAGAAATGTATTGTATTGAAACGGTTTATATTTCTATTGCAGCTAATTTCACTTGTCCCGGCAGATACAGTTGTCAGGGTAACAAAGTGTGTATCCCATGGCAGCAGGTGTGTGACGCTGTGAAACATTGTCCTGAAGGAGATGATGAATACTTCTGCAACCAGATCTGCCCAGACGAGTGTGTTTGTGAAGGAGCACAAATCACTTGCAGAATGTTTTATCTGGACATTATTGAGCAGCTACCTAGGTACACTAGGGTACTCGACTTAAGTGAGACTTATAATGTAACAATCCAGAACAACACGTTCTATCAAATGGAGAATCTAGCTGTGCTGAATCTCGCCAACCTTGGTATTCGTGAACTGGAACAGGAGTGCTTCAGTGGACTGGAGAATTTAGTACATTTAGATCTACGCAAGAACTTTTTGAAGAAAATTCCAAAGCGTGTGTTCAGAAATATGAGAAATCTGCATACTTTGCTGCTTGCGGGCAATGATATATTCGAGGCATATCCTGGGTCGTTTGATGGACTTTTAAACTTGCCATCACTCGATCTGTCAAATATGGCTTTTACAACCATAGTTGAAGATATGTTTTATGGGCTCTCCAGTCTTATGTTCCTGAATCTTTCACATAACAAACTCACCTCGATAGAAGATAGGAGCTTCACCGGGGCCGGCAAAGTCCAAACGCTTGATCTCACAAAAAATGACATAGCTGAATTCACGGGAGACATATTTTCCGGTCTTGGAGAGCTGGCCTACCTTCACAATGATAAGTACGTATTCTGCTGCTTCAGACCTCACACTGTTCCAGAAGAACAGTGTCTCCCTGCAGCTGACGAGTTCTCTTCCTGTTCAGACCTAATGAGGAATGCAGCACTGAGGATCTCAATGTGGGTCCTAGGCTTCACTGCTCTTGTTGGTAACCTTATGGTGATTTTGTCTCGATGCATCTATGACAGACAAAGTTTGAAACGCAGCAATGACTTTTTTGTTGCTAACCTCGCTATTTCTGACTTTGTGATGGGAATATACATGATCATCATAGCAAGTGCTGACACCTTCTACAGAGGAGTATACAGCTGGAACGATGAGGCCTGGAGAAGCAGCTGGGTGTGTCAGCTGGCAGGTGTCCTAGCAACCCTGTCAAGTGAGACATCCGTCATGTTCCTCTGTATGATCACGGCAGACAGAGTCCTGGTCATCAAGTTTCCTTTCAAAGATTTCAATATCTTCAAACGATATTCCAAGTACATCAGTCTCTCGGTATGGATTCTAGGTTTGCTGATGGCAGGGATGCCACTTTTGCCCATAGATTATTTTTCAAGTTCGTTCTACTCTCGATCAGGAGTCTGTCTAGCTCTACCGCTGACCAGAAACAGGCCGCCAGGATGGGAGTATTCCACCACCATCTTTGTCATCTGGAACTTTATCTGTTTTGTCTTCATCGCTTTTGGTCAGGCTGTTATCTACCAGGCTGTGAGAGCAAGTCAGAAGCTGAGAAAGGGACGCACGACCAACGATATGGCCATTGCTAGGAAGCTGTCCTTCATTGTTCTGACGGACTTTGTATGCTGGTTCCCTATCTGTGTCATGGGTAAGGTATATTTCTCCACAGAAATGCAATAACAGGCTGGTGTATAGTTCTAAAAAACCCACAATACATCACATCTGTTCAAACCAGACAAATACAACACTGTGCCTTGTAACCAAATTTTCCAACAACCATGTTTAGGGACACAAAACACCTATATCAAAACAAAGACATGTGAAGATATCGATAAACACTCCTTCCGTTGGTATGTACATTTTGGTCTTGAATGAATCAGGTTATTACCCAAAATAACATGAACTAGCACACCTCAAAGCCAGTCAACGCAGAATTTTATTTTATAACGTTCATAGAGCCTGTGGGAAAACAATTTGTTCTACAGTTACTCCAAACTAGAGTGTGGACTAAGATTATCTGCTTTGCCTCATGGAAGAGGTCACGGTCATTGCTACTGTGTGCTGACGCCTTCCGTTTTGATCCTTCCTACTTTACATCTTAAAGGAGTTTTGTTTCATACTTCTGTCAGCACTGACTCGGACAGTAAATGTAATGGCAGACAGACTTTATCCGGTAATGCAAGCCATGTGGCCTATGTTACAATGAATTTAAGAATAACATTTTAGTCACGATTTTCTTCACATAACATTTTTTGTATATAAATAGAAATGATTTTAATAACAGTTTCATTCTTGCAATTGAGTATATTTGGCAAAGTTAACTGGCCATGGAATACATTTGTGAGTTGTGTAATATAATGCATACGTAAGTCATTATAATATTCACATACACAGAAAACATGATCTTCGGTCTCAATAAGACCCTTACTGCAGTAATTACAAAGGCTATTTTGAAAATCTTCTTTTTGTCTTTCGTAACATATTAACTTTGAAATTGTGCAAATTTATTCTTAATTTGCAAAAAGCACGTCTTAAAGATTATCTTCTAAAATGTAATATATCGTTCAACGTTAAGCAACATTTAATTCTCTAAGTATTTTGATGACGACAATTTAGAAAACCAGTCTTGTACACTAACATCTTGTAATCTTTCATTAAACTGATGCATAAAAATTCTAGCATCACCAACACTTTGATAATTCCATATATACGGGAAACCATGAAAACATAATACATTTTTAATACCTGTTACCCTGTTCCGTTTACCTTCTTCATCTAATTTTTTAAAGAAAAAATGACATTGTGCAGGGTATCTAGATCTATCCATACGTAACAATTTTATCTAATATTTAACAGCTCGTTTCCGGCTTTGAACAAACATATAATGCCGACCAGTTTCACCTAAGATAGCAATATTTGAGGAGTATTTACCAACACCTAGAAAATATCTAAAATATGAAGTAAATGTAATTAAGTCTATGGACTCGACGAACATATGCAAAGTGCATAAACAAAACTAATAGTAAAAGAAGAAGTTTCATTAGGCCGTGCATCAGCCTCATCAGTGACATCCATCTGAGCAATTCCGTATTTCACTTCTACCATACGTTCCCGTATTTTGTTTGTATAGGAATACCGTTAACATGACTTTGCATGTGTTTGAACCAGGGTGTCATCGCTACTTAATAGTTACATATGAATATTGTTGACAAAATAGGAATCTCACCGACGAGTGTATTCTCAGTTTGGATTTGGTTTGGCTATACAAAAGGTTAATATCTCGCTTAAATATTGTCGTTTACCATGAATGCCGAAATACCTGAACCATACAGACAATCTGATTGCAAGGAAGACAAAACATATATATTTAATTGTAGATCGAATGATTTCTTGCTACAGGTCTGATGGCTCTCCAGGGCCATGCTATCAACTCTGAAGTGTACGCCTGGGTTGCGGTGTTTGTTCTGCCGATCAACTCCGCTCTCAATCCCATCATCTACACTCTGTCATCAGTTGACACCATGAGAAAACGAAAGGTTACAATCTTCTCTTTTGTGTACATACTCACATAAAAGACACGTACCAAATAATAATTATGCAGATCTACTACCCATCAAAAGTTTAGACTCACTTAAAGCACTCACTATATGTTATGTATATAATATGTGGATACAAAAATGAATTTCTCCACTAACTTGGGGGAACCGACTGCAATCCTTATGCGTTTTGGTGTAAAGTTTTGTTAGGAATTCACTAATTTTCACTGAGTTTCATCATTTATTGAACTCATGACAATAAACCTTTCAACGTTGCGAATCTGTTTTACAATACATCAGTTCATGTGTAAGCAGTACCTTTAAACTCTGTGGAATATTTTGCAAAATCTAGTTTAGAACAGTTGACTGAAGTAAGTGACTACATTTACACTAGTGAGTCTAAACGTTTGATGGGTAGTATATAATGTTGGTTTCGAGAGTTGCTTCTTCCTTGCTTTAACTCTATTTCAATTATGTATTTACAGCTGAACAGAGAAAAGACGTTCTCAAGTACTACTCGGTCAACTGGTATGTGTTTAATGTTTGAATCGGTGACAAACAACATGAACGCTTTTGTTTTGCAATGCTTGTATAGAAACATGTTCATGTTGAAGTCTTGTTTTGGCCTAACTTAGGTTTCTAAACCTGAAATCAATAAAACGTAAATATCAGTAATATAAAATCAATTGAGAAGAAATGTTTCAGATTTGTCATTTTGATCATTTTCTTTCATTGCCAGTTTGGTAAGTACAAAACATGTATGTATTTTCGCTTACTTTTACAGTGAGGACAGGGTCGTCTATCCCTCAGATTTTGCGAAAAGAACTCCTCTTCTTGAGCCAGCCCCCAAATTCGGTCTGTCTGTCCACTTACATCGGGTCACTGATGTCCGCCAGGCAAATGCTGACCATTGCTTATCAGTTAGCAGGCTCTATCGACCTTCTTCACTCCAATGGGCTGGTCAATGGTTTGGTGGAGACAGACAGTGTATACGTCGTCCTTGATCAGGGGGTACGTTTGGAAAATATGTATTTATGAACAAAACTATTCGATCATGTTAAGTTGGTTGATTGTTGTTTAACGCCGCACTCAGCAATATTCCAGCTCTATGGCGGTGGTCTGTAAGTAATCTGGACCAGACAATCCAGTGATCAACAGCATGCGCATTGATCTACGCAATTGGGGTACGGTGACGTTTGTCAACCAAGTCAGCGACCTGACAACCCGATCCCGTTAGTCGCCTCTTACGACAAGCATGGGTTACGGAAGATCAATTCTAACCCGGCTATTCACGGGTATCCGATCATGTTAAGACACCTTAACTTAAACCTTAACTGTTACAGTTTGTGCAGTTGGATATTGTAGCACTTATACATCACTTCATATAAACAATTTCATTCAACAGATTATCAAAAGGGTGACTGCAGCATGTGTGCCCATGGCAACAGAAATCGAAGAGGACTTCAGTAAGGATATCAGGGACTTTGGTCTTCTCGTGTCCAAGATGTTGAAAGCCTATACAGTTGCTAAGAAACAACATCTGGCAAAGATGGTCAACCAGTGACAAATCCTATTCCTTCAATACAAACACGTGTTCAACTGATATGATACCACCTCCCGATCCTACCTTTCTAATGGACACGATGACTAAGGCTATTGTGACATACAATTAACGTCTCACACAATAAAATCTGCAATGTAACCAATGTGTGTTTTGTTGCTATTTCATAGTATAGTTGCACACAACAGGAGACCATTGGAATTGCTAGTTCTTTGGGATTACAGCAGTTTATAGTTAATCCTGCTGTGTCTCATTCTGATGGGATGTAATTGATTGTGTCTGTAAAATGTTCACTGGAAGAGCTTTATAGTTTTATGAACAAGGATCATATAATATAATGGCATACGATGAAAATGTTATCAAGGATCTAAGTTCACCTAACATCTCGTCTCAGAAATGAAAATATTTTACAGACAACAACACTTGTTATATTAATGTGGTAATAAAGGCGCTTAGAAGCTCTCTCTTTTTTCAAGAAATCGACGTAATCTAGACTTGCCATTATTATGTAATGTAAGCCCATTACATTTGATAAAAATATATGTGTGAACCCATTACATTTGATAAAAATATATGTGTGAACCCATTACATTTGATAAAAAATATGTGTGATCCATTACATTTGATAAAATTATATGTGTGAACCCATTACATTTCATAAAAAAAATATGTGATCCCATTACATTTGATAAAATTATATGTGTGAATCCATTACATTTGATGGAAATATATGTGTGAACCCATTACATTTGATAAAAAAATCTATGTTAACACATTACATTTGATATAAAAAAATGCGTGAACCCATTACATTTCATAAAGAAATATGTATGAACCCACTGCACTTCAAAACATTTATGTATGCCAATCCATAGGAGGCCTCAATGTAGAGAACTATGAACCCTGTGTCTAAGTCCAAGTGTCTAAGCCCGAGATCTGTAAGCTGTCTATGTATCAGACACACACTATGTACATGTAAGTCCGTGATAGAATTTCTAAACGAAACGTTTAACATCTTTAAATATGTAGACTTAATCTTCACTTCTGGATTCTGTAAATTTAGGCTCTACTGCATCAAATTTAACACTTATAAAATCAATCGACGAATATGAGAGTGCAAAGGATGTTAGTATTAGAAGATGTTCTACGAAAAATTTTCTAATTAGATACCAAAACTATGAAAAATATTAGATGAATTGTGTTAGGCACCGATGGATATAACCTAAAACTAGTTTTATACTCAGTTCTTCATTTATTGGCTCAACACTGAAATTCTTAACTCATGCCACGATTTTGTAGCCAAACGCAATGATTCAAATTGTTGAATGTTTTATACAATATAATAGGGACAACACTGGCTCATACTTACATGTGTGCATTTATGTTGAACATACATTTAGCAACTGAAATCCCCTTTTCCAGGAGCATTTACAGAAGCAATCATATATGTTTCATATGTGAAATGTTTGTTTGAATCATTTCGATGCCGAACCAAAAATATGTACATTCCTGAATGTTCCACATAAGCTGGGGTTCATGGGGATACTTTAACTTCACAATCATTAACCATGTGTAGTCATTTACTCATATTCCCGCACCAACAATCACAGTGTGTCGCAGATATTTACACATGTCGACTGTTGATACTATAGTAATGTGTGTATCTCATTCTTGTCAGTGAATCCAGTGTGAGATTAGAGGTTCTAATTGTAATGACTGCTTTAACGGCACCAACACGATCGATCATCACTACACCTCCGTCCATTAGCAATAGTCAGCATAAAAAACATCAATCAGAATTTGGTAATATACAAGCCCATAAACAATGTGTTCTTGTCAACATGAGACAGTCGTTTGTCTTGTTCTAAAATGTTTTGCTGTCACAAAGTAATATGAAATTGATTGACTATATTCTTATTATTACTCTGTTCACAGCGATTCTATATAGCACAAATTACATTGAACAGTCATGCATTAATGAACAGTCATGCATTTGATCACTGGAAATCCGTCAATGGTGATACACACCAACACTATACCAATATAAGCTTAACACTGTCATTAAATATATTTCCTAATAGATAAGTATAAACATATATTTGTGAATGTCATGATTCAGAATGTCATTGGTATTGTGCTTTATAGCACAGATGAGATTTTATAGAAAAAAACAAGAACTACAAGGTGAAAGCAGAATTTGTAGAATAATTCCTTTGGGAAATAAACCTTCCATGCCGAATTTGAATTAATACAGTTTTATTACATGAGAAAGATGTGAGATTTTGTTATACAAGATTCTCTTTAAATATCCTTAATGGGATTTTCAACCGAAATTTCAAATTGAAACGACTGCAAATCTGTTTGCATTGTGCAACCTGTAATTAAAAAAAAGCTAAAACAAAAACAATCAACAGTGAAATACCTTTCTACTTCGAACTTCTCGTAGTCGTCCGCAGCAATTTCGCAAGCAATTGAAATAAACCGATCTCGTGAACCGATCTCGTGATTCCTTTCCTATTCCTTTGGAGTAGTCGATTGGACAAAACATTATATCCAGTCTTGACCGCCTGACCAGAAGGATCATGTCTGATAACAGAGCCTACCTCTTTCCTCTCTTAATCGTTTATATATGCCAATCAATTCTGGGGGTCGGGGTTTGATTAACGTTGAGACTCTTTATGATAGAATTGTATTGTGTACCTTTGCACATATCTATTTATCGGATCATCCTCTGGTGATGCATGTCAAGACTCACGATGAAAGCAACGAATTCCACAGCTATTTCAGAATCTGAAATTTGAGGTTGATATTGTTGATGGCAATGTACTGCTGGACGGTACAGCGATGGGACCAAACTAGGTGAAGTTATTCGCCAAGTCTGCCCAGAGTCGGTCATTTGTGGAGAAACTTTCTTAGAATCCATTGCATCGTGTGTACATGCAGTGTGTGGAACAGAACAATAATCCAACCGACTCCTTCGCCTGGATGATGTCTGCTGGTCTTAAATTGAAACCGAGGGCTTTCTTTTTATTGCCCTGGACCAGTCACTTCCCACTCGCCAAAATGTGATTCTTAAACAAAATATCAATATGAAATGTCGACTTTGCAATATATCTGTCTTGGCTGCATGTAGAGGGGGCAAGGACCCTGAGCTGATGATTAGCCTTACCAGCCTGACTGTGCCAGGATCACCTAAACCCTCTCTGCTGCATTTTCATTTTAATCTGTAAAACATAATAAATGTGAATTTATAATTCGCTTTTTCCATGTTCAAGGTACATATTCAAAGCGCTAACACAAATTATTATTACCCCGGATGACCCAAGCTGCATGCGAGGCGCTATAAGGTGAAATAGTCACATGACTTATCCCACCGGGTACCCATTGTTTTTTGGGTGAACCGAGGCAATTTTGAACAAACTCACTTGCCTAAGGTGAGACCACATGTATCACATTTGCTTCGTTTCCTGGATGTCTACATACCACCCTGAAACATGCACAGATGTGTCGTTTCCTTCTTTCCAGAAGGGAGCGGTGGGGTAGCCTAGTGGTTAAGGCGCTCGCTCGTCGAGATGAAGACCCGGGTTCGATTCCCCACATGGGCACAATGTGTGTAGCCTATTTCTGATGTCATCCGCCGTCATATTGCTGGAATATTGCTAAAGCGGCGGAAAGCCCAACTCACTCACTCATTCACTCTTTCCGTGTTGCATATCATATAAGCTACTGAGCAGTTATTACAAATATGGTATGAGCAGTAACTTGGTGACAGTTGCCATGGGTTTTCATGATACCAGACTCCAACATAACCATAAACGTTATGTTCAATAAACAATTAGTTCCTGATAAAGAGGAATGAACCATTAATTCTGTCGAACGATGTGCTCAATGTAATGGCATTTCGATGTGACGTCATTATGGAGGCCTCCAGACACAATGTGTTACTTATTTGCACCTTACTAAAATATTTTATCAACATATGTTACGATATACGCTCCTATGTACTGTAACAGGTCGGTATACCATCAAATTCATATAATAATTTGAATTTCGCTTTAAAGGTTTCCAAGGAAGATCGTTTGCTTGGAGTTTAGTTTTTGTAAGTAGATCGCAAGAATCGTAAAATACTGTAAGTTCTACTGAAATGGTTCATGACGATTTTTGTGTGTTGTCTAAATGCCCGTGGCCATGCCATTGATGCTTACAAAACGCCAACTTATATATCATTGTTCACCTAAGATAAACATGCTTGAATAGATGTATAAATGCAAATTAAGGTTTTGCCATTTTGTTTTCATAAACCGAAAAATCTTAGGTCACGCCCAGTAACGGAAAACAGTAACCAGAATGGCTGCTTATAGAATGGGCGTGGTCTGTTGCATTATTTCGCCGAGCGATGTCACTAATTCAGTATTGATGTGTACAGTATTGTGTGTGTCAGTGACAGAAAAAATCAAACTGGAAAGATATACATAAGTAAGAGCGCTTTATGGATGTCAACTTCTTTATTTTGAGGAACACATCTGTTGAAGGAGAAAGGATATACTCCGAAACGTTGTGTTCCTCATATTAAAGAAGTTGACATCCCAAAAAACTCTCTTCCTAGCTTATGTGTATCACTTCAAAATGCCATTTAGAGACCAGATATAATTGCTGACGTATAAATTCATAAGAATGAAAATGTTTGCATTTATAGAGGTATGAACGTAAAATCGGATGTGCACACATTGCGCGGATTTATACAGTGTACACACCAGCTTTAGCTATTATTACTAAATGTTACATGTTAGCCTTTCAGAAGTTGAGGCGTAAATGACTTGATATAGTTTATTTTCTTTTTGTCAAGATATTACTGTAACACATGAGTATATGTCTGGGTATGCATTACTTGTTAAATTATGTCTTCATCGCATTATCGTCAATAGGTAAATACTCCAAATTCCAAAAAGAAAAGACTGTCCCGTACAGGTTCCCGTATTTCAAAATAGTAATTGCTTTCAATGATTTCTTCATGCGACATCCATGTCCTCGATTTATCCTTCCATTGAATACATTGGATAGTACATAGTCCGTGGGCGTGGTTTCAGAACAGTTGGTGCGTATTTAAACAGTATAACTGCCGTGTGTTATGGCTCATGAACAAATTGCAGAAGGCCAAAGAATAAAGCATGTGGCTGCTTCTGTTCTTCGGGTTTGCTGTATACAACGCAGCGGCCTTGCTGGACCCGGACAAAGATATTTCGAGTGAGTAATACACGTTTGTCTCATGGATTGTATACTTCATTATATATAACATTATCATTATATAAAATAAGCCATATTATGATAGTGGTTAGCTAAAGGAGCGGACTGCGTTAATGAGATGTGTGTTGATTCTACGGTCCCGCACACCCAGTTTTGCTTCCACACCACCGTTAGGCACGTCTAGCTTGGTGTAGCCAGCGCCTGAGGGTGATGGGTCCAGGTTTCATCTGGACAGCCCTGGTAGTCGTGCAATGGTCTACAGGTGGCCTGGAAGATGCATTTGTGTCGCATGCGTTACTAACCGTTGTGAGTTTGGGGTAGAAGTGTAATGGTATTGGGTGGCAGCAAATCATTGTTAGTGGCAACTTGAATGGCGACGACATCGTTCTAGATCATGCTCTTAACTTTCTTGAAATGAAAGAACGTAACGTCAAATTGCATAAGAAAATGTCTTCCCACATTATTCCTATGTAATATCAGACTTTTTGAGTCACGATTACATTGTCCTACTGCCATGGCTGGCTGATTCTCCAGGTCTCTCCAGGCCTCTCCCCCGACAGAACATTTGTGGGATGAGACTAGTTACTGTCGACGCCTACGACAGGATCAGAACTAGCTGATTTGGACCAATTTTTGACATTTGGGACAACATCACCGAAACTGTTTTCAATCATCTGGTGTCTTCTTTCTTCATAACCAACTGATTGGCCCATATCAATGTAAATGGTGGTCCGTTTCATATAGCTCTGTGGGTTGTAGCACCATCTCTCGTTTAGGGTACGTCGCCCTGTCTCCTGTCAATAAGTTTATGATGGTGAAACATTGAACAGACGAATGGCCAAATGTAATGTTTGTATTAATGGGGTTTTTTTTCATTGTCCGACTTTACATAAACAAAGTTATTATACACGCATAAACCTCTATTGTATACCTTGACGAATGCATTACACAATGTCATGTAGTACGATGCGACTTAATGTTCCCATGGACAGACATACAGCAAACTGTAGCACCTAATAGGAAAGTGTTTCAAAAGGAGAGTTTACTTTTGTGTATATGTGCTCAACTTGCTCCACAGGAACACCTTCTTTTGCTGGGTTTCAACATAAAATTCAAATGATACCATCAGTAGATGATAAATGTATGTAACGAAGTACCTCAGTAAATCAATCACAAGGACTTACATTTGTTTAAAAAAAAAATAGGTACTTACAATTGTTATTCACCATTGATCCTGTGGCCGATTCCCCAGGAATGTGGTAGTCCGTCTATGTTTACGTCATAAAAAAATACATGAAAAACGTGTAAGCGTAAAAATGTGTCGTTCATATAACCATTGTGTAAACGTCACATTTAAACAAAACCTATGGTCTATTATTTATCATGAAAACGAAATATATATTGTTTTCATACGAACCAAATATTGCTAAAAGCGGCGTAAAACTAAACTCAGTCAGTCAGTCATACGAACCAAGAAAACGTTTCGTGTATTCTGCTCAAGAAATATCACAAAACATGAAACCAACTGCAACGGTTGCAAGCGTATACTCAGTCAGTCTTTTAGAATCCATGTACTAACAATTGTGCAGACACACCGCCAGTCGCTTCTCTAAGGGTTTTACATTGAGTGTTTTATATCAATTAACATTCGCTAGTTTTGATTTATTACTGCAGGCTGCTTTGGACTTAGTTGCGAAAATGGCGGGACCGCTGACCATGATGTCTGCGGCTGCATCTGTCGTCACGGGTACTCCGGGATATTGTGTGACGTGGGTAAGCTGGTTTCTACACATCAACCAGTGTTTGCTCTTAACCCTGGAAAGTTGCAGGCCCTAAGTACCCAGAACCATAAAACGGTGTGGGTCCTGATCAGAATGTGTAGGCCCTATATATATTTCAGCTACAAAATAACTAATTCCCAGAAATATAAGAAATTACGGAATGATATTTTCTGAAAAATAATACCCATAGTTATTGGGGATGAAAAAGCTGCCGGCAGAAAACAAAAACTGTGGGTCCGAGTGGTTTTCAGTCGGCTTCGGGCCTAAGGACCGACGTTAATTTCAAACGCTGACATCAATGCCTCAGGAGTATCTCGGAAATCTAACGATACGGAATCCGTTGGTGAAAAACACAAAATATTGATGAAATTATAAGAATAAATCTATTCAATGTATTGATGACACCAGGTGGTCTCGAAAAGTGTAAGCATGTCCTACTACGGCAACACCCATATCTCACACATTGTTGTTGCCAACACCTTAAAATACTTTCTAGGAAACAAAGACCCTGTTGATTACGGAATACGTTTTCTATTGCTAAAGCAGGCCTGTCGTTAGAATGATCTGTGCCGAGTTGCATTGAAACCCTTGTCACTCAATCCCTAGTGTAACTATACACTTGTTGTAAATGTGAATATCACACATATTTTGTTTTATAACTCAAGCAAGTTATATATATTTCAGAAATCCAACCAAGCCAATGGCCAGTGGGTTCCTACAGCCTTCTGTCAACTGCATTTGGATGTCCGGAGTCTGAGAGACATGGTTGGAGTCTTGGCCACATCAACCTGACGCTGTCAGTGGAAACCAACTATCGTCAATGGTTTCCAGAACGTTTCCGGGTGTTGGGGCCTTATCATAAACAACAGTTCCAGTTCAATTTCTGTTCAAGGACCGAGTCTACTGACAACGGTTCATGGCCTGATGGACAGTACTGCTTGTTTAAAACTGCTGGAGGACAGTGTCCAGATGGTATTTATATGTGCTTGTGCATTTCATTTCTATATTCTATTCTAACACATTACAATACACTCTTTACTGAAGCGTACACTCCTATATTCCACAAAAGAATTAGTTAGTTCGACCAATACGTTTCACAGATTCTTGAGTCATGAAGATATGAAATGTATTTGAAGAGACAATGTGTTTTCTTTTTATTTGTCACACAATGCCCAGTGTTTACTGTAACACAGGCCATTTTTCAAAGTTTATTGACGTCATACAATGGAATAAAAATTGAGAAAGTAAGATAACTCAATTGTTTCGTAGGATTCCAGGAAGGGTTACTCCCCTTGTTCAACTACAGCGTGTGGGAGGAAGACACTGGGGGTGTTGTTCCTGACGTGGACATCACAGGCCAGGGGATACAGCTGACACTGTGCTGCAGGGCCGATGACGGCATCGACACCATATCACTACCTACATCATTTCCCTTCTATCTAATGAAGGTAAATAATTTGGAATAATGCAGCATTTCGATAAATAGGTATTGGATGGTATTTATTGCACAAATCATAAAGTCGTTTATTGGACGCTTTCAATTCAAAACGCCAGATGGAAAATTAGTCCAAAATGCTCTTTGATGTTTCACCATATTCGCCATCAACAATGCACAAGGCAAACGTACATGTTTACTTCCTGGATAGTGTACAGTTTCAATTTAATTATACTATCAAGAATTTTGATTTGGCAGTGTATTCAACCATACTGCAAGAAACAAGAAACCTAGAAGTGTAGAACACATTTCAAGATACCAAACTACCAAATGCTTTCACTCATATGTTTCATAATGATCAGCCATCTCCAGAGGTTGCCTGCCAGGCAGTTGCCGACATGGTGGTCACAGAGGAAGTGTTCTCCTTCGTGAAGACCTCCAACAGGAGCTGGATGAGCGGGGAGGGCAGCTTTGTGGCAGAGGAGTCGGAGAACTACTTTAACGTCACATTCTGCTACTATGAAGCATATGGTATATTTCTGACATGTGGATGTTGTTTTAACCTGTGAGATCAAGCTGAAGCGACCGAGTGTGTGAGTGAGTGGAGTGGAGTGGAGTGGAGCGGAGTGGAGTGGAGTGGAGTGGAGTGGAGTGGAGTGAGTCAGTCAGTCAGATTAGTGAATGGAGTGAGCGAGTGAGCGAGTGAGTATCAGATTGTAAAAGGAGCGGAGGGGTGCGGAGGAGTGGAGTGGAGTGGAGGATCGAGTGGAGTGGAGGAGGAGTGAGTGAGTGAGTTGAGTGGAGTGGAGTGGAGGGAGCGGAGTGGAGTGAGTGAGTGAGTGAGTGAGCGGAGCAGAGCGGAGAGGAGTCGAGTGTAGTGGAGCGGAGTGGAGTGGAGCGACGTAGTGAGGGAGTGAATGAGAGAGAGGGAGAATGGAGAGGAGAGGAGTGGCGGGAGGAGTGGGAGTGGAGGGAGTGGAGGGAGGGAGGGAGGAGGAGGGAGGGAGTGGGGGAGGGAGTGGAGAGGAGTGGAGTCGAGCAGTGGAATGGAGTGGAGCGGAGTGAGTATTCCGGAACTTTCTGTTGATATTTACAGAGCGCAGAGAGTGTATGTACTGTGATGACAACGGAGCGTCCTATGAAGGTTGGGTCAACGTCACCGACGAAGGTCGATCCTGTCAGTCATGGATCAACAGTTCAACGTTTATTAAAGAAAAGGCTGTTGGTAATGTAGAACGTTTCGAGGAGAATTTCTGCCGGCAACCAGTGTCTACTTCACATAAACCATTCTGTATCATAAATGACAAATGGTTTTCATGTGACATTCCAGTCTGTGGTAAGTTGTCACCTCCTCCAGTTGTCTGACCTTTTCATACAAGCTCATAGGTAATTAGACACACTTTGTGTGTGAGTTGCGACCATTGTGCAGTGATTGTAAAGTCGTTGTGTTAACCATTCTAAACCTTGGACAGCAGTAATCGAAACGAAACTCCAGAGAGTTTTTCTGTGCAGAAATAGATTCTTCTGGGCGTAAAAGGCAAAATAGTCGTGAAAAAAGTGAATGAAATGGATCTACCTGCCTACCTACCTACCTCCTCCTACCTCATACCTACATACCTCTTACCTACCTACCTACCTACCTACTTACCTACCTACCTACCTCCTCGTATCTATATACCTCCTACCTCGTACCTACCTACATACCTCGTACCTACTTATCTCCTACCTACCTTCCTACTTACCTACCTTTCTGCTCCTACCTACCCACTACCTACCGAACTTTCTACCCCTTCCTACCTACATACCTTGTACCTCCTACCTACCTTCTACCATCTACCTACCTCCTCCTATGTACCTACCTTCTACCAACCTACCTCCTAACACCCATCTACCTACCTACCTTCTACTTAGCTACCCACCTATTATTTTCCCTACTTATCTCTTAACTACCTTCCTACCTACCTACCTCCTCCTACCTACCTACCTACCTACCTACCTGCCACCTCCTACCTATCTACCTATTTTTATACTTACCTACGTCCTGTCTACCTCCTACCCTTTAACCCTACTACCTTCCTACCTCCTACCTACGTACCTCTTCCTACCTACCTACCTCCAACTCCTACCTACCTACCTCCTCCTACCTACCTACCTACCTACCTGCCACCTCCTACCTATCTACCTATGTTCATACCTACCTACGTCCTGTCTACCTCCTACCCTTTAACCCTACTACCTTCCTACCTACCTCCAACTCCTACCTACCTACCTATCTCCAACTCCTACATACCCACCGAAACCCTACCTAATATTTCTTTCTACCTTCCTACTTCCCTCCCACCCTCTATTCCTCACCCCATCTACCGACCTACCTTCCCACCTACCCATCTCCTCGTATATACATACCTCCTACCTCCTACATACTTACCTACCTCCTAACTCCTCCTACCTACCTACTACCTACCTACCTACCTACCTCGTACCTCCTACCTACTTACCTCCTACCTCCTACCTACCTTTCCCATCTACCTAAAAGAAATCTTTCTTTCTACCTTCCCACCTCCTTCCCTCTACCATTTTGAGTTGAGATGTTAAATTTGTTAAACAACAAAAAGACACAAATCTGATTTACAGATTCCTCTGACGACCTACCAAATGTCATTGACAAGAGGATCTATCGCTCTCCTCCTACTCTTCCACAAAATCCAGTTGAAAACATTCGTCGACTTTCCACAGGTAAGATATCACTTATGGACGCAGGTCTATATACATAGGAAGATACACATACATGTTACTAAGAGAGGGGGGCATTTTAATGCAGTAACAGGACAACCTGACATATACAACCCACCAAAAGTATAGACTCACTAGTGTAAATGTAGCCACTTACTTCAGTCAACTGTTCTCAACTAGATTTTGCAAAATATTCCATACTGTTTACACATGAACTGATGCATTGTAAAACAAATTCGTAACGTTGAAAAGATTATTATCATGAGTTCAATAAATGATGAAACTCGGTGAAAATTGGCGAATTCTTAACAAAACTTTACACCAAAACACAGCTGTTCACATGCACAATATTTGCACATGCTTTTTCAGAAATGTGATGCATGATCCTTGTACAATTCATCTGGTTTGCAGTTGGTTCCCCCCAAGTTAGTGGAAAAATGCATCTTCGATGTAACCATATATATATATACATAACGTATAGTGAGTGCTCTAAGTGAGTCTAACCTTTAGATGGGTAGTATATAAGGTTCCTAATCCGTTATAATTACGTAAAAATGTCCAGATGATTCCATTTATTTACGCCAATTTCTTCCATCTTTCAGTGGACGGTTTTTTTCATGACATCTAAACATACTTACGCACTCACGCATATGCGCACACAACACACACATCACACGCAAAACACACATAACAGCATCGTCGTCAAGACCATTAGGAATATTGATGTTATCCGTCTCCTAATGTAATGCTCATGCATGCACGCACGCACGCACATACATACATACATACATACATACATACATATATTTACATATGTTTACTTGTATTTTGCAGGATCCTTTGCAGTTGCACGGCCGTATATAGAACCCTGGGTCCAAGTTGACTTCAATGAATATTATGAGATCCACACGATAACAGTCAGAAGGAGTCGCAGTAAGTCGCAATTTTCTTCCTCTTTTTTTCAGATGCAGCTGCGCGAATATCAAATGGGCCGCTCCCTTTGTGATTATTTTAGTATCATCATAATCATCAGCTGAACAACAACATACAGGATGATACATCAGTCTTTTAACGCTCCAATATCTAAATAACATTTTTTAATTTTTTGTTGTTGTGATACTGGGTTATTTTTTAAAATATGACAAAATTCTTCATGTTCTAAACTCTGAGATTGTGAGTTATGTCCTCAACTGTGAGACTTTGAGTTTGTCATTTTTAAATTTAAATAGAATATAACAAACATTTAATGACATAAAACATAGTTCCGACCGAATCGTGCTTTATCATCAAAATGTGGTTACTCAAATGTCACTGAGATGTGGTTGCGTCTATTCACAGACTGGGGTCATTATCTTGCCCGGAATTTCATAACTTATGTCAGCCGGAATCAATGGGATTTCCTCACATTTGGAGCCTACATTTGTGACGGACCATCCCACTTGGCAAGGAATTCCGTGTTCCGCTTCCAATGTCGCCGACCTTTGATTGGTTCCTTTGTCACACTGCAAAACTTCGTTCACTACGATCCAGACTACAACAAGGGATTCTTTTTCTGCGTTTGAAGCTTCCGAAATTGTTATCAGAGGCAAAGGTATGTTTGTCAGTTGCCACAGACCACGCACTTTTTACCTTAAAGACCTTAAAAACATCACCTGGAAAATTGTCTGACATGTGATTAGATGACATTGAAGGTCAGGGTCACTCGGAACTGAGTGGTTGAAAATATGTTTGTGTACACGGTAAAACGGAGGGTTTATGAATGTCGGTTGTGTGAGAATAGTATGGAAGCTTCGAAACTTTAACATCACCAAATTATATAAATAGGATAAGGAATGCTCTCACTTGTGAATGGGTCGAGCTTTCGTACCAGACAATGGGCATAGTGTCTGAGATATTGGTTAAAATGTTATATCACCAGCCAAACATCCAACTCCAGTGAAAACTGGACACAATTTGTCCAAAATATCAAGCGCCTTTCATGGGGCTTTAATGTTTTGCACGCTGATATTAATAGAAGGTTGGTTATTGAATTGAAGGAGCAATAACGCAACAAAGACTTCATGAAAAAACTGTCATATATGCATCTTAAATTAAAAGAAAAAGTATGATTCATCGAGGACCAGTGTCAATAGCCGCCTATTCGCCTCGACTCAAGGGGTCATGGCCGGTTCACCCTCACTTAGCCAGAGTCTACCCAAAAAGGTATAATTGTTAAGACAACATTGCACTATGGCTAGGTGAGAGATGCGAGTCAGGTAATTAGCATTAACCACTGAAGCGTGAGCCTTTGTTCAAGGGCTTCGAGGTTTCAACTGTGTGTCTACCCAGGTGAACCATAACTTAAATCAAAGATTTCAGTACGTTTCTGGTTGTGGAAAAACAACCCTCGATGCACAGGCTACTTGATTATATTTTCTCAGAGATAAAGTTCTTTGAAATACGTCGATACTTCCATAAAGAGTTAAAGTAGGGGAGCCTGAACTTTCAGTTTAGATTGTATAAGCGTTAACAAACTTTTCAAAGACATACATCGGATGAACGCACCACCATTTCTCAGTATCACCACCCCTAAACACAACGCATAGGATGCACGTGCACAACACAGTTGCCCCGTACACATGCATGGTGTGTCATTCTTAATTTTTGACGGTTTTTGTTGAAATGAAAATATCAAGATTTTTATCAGAGTTTTCACACTGTCAGAGAGATATATTAAAAGGACAAAGTTAAGGCTGATCCATATTACCCGGAATATCATCTGTGTGGGAGACATAGTTTGTTTGTTTTTTGTATACACACAAACAATTTTTATATGTTTTTTATTAGTGTCCTTGTAGTAGGCTAAATTTCTTCCACAATGCTAAAGATATTTCAAACGCGATCGTCACCAAATTATTGTTGAAAGCTACTGGCTGTGGGAAATCCCTGGGCGTGAGGACTGGTGACGTCAAAGATTTCCAGTTTAAGTCTTCCAGTGATGGCGCTGGTTACTATGGACATCATGCAAGACTATACAGAGCCACGGGATGGTGTGCCCAGACGGGAGATACTGATCCTTACATACAGGTACATCATGGAAGCGGCCGCGAACGTCGTCGTCACTTGTAACTTGACAAACGTGCTTTCTATTGACCTGATCTATCTGCGTCTATGTAACAGTTTCTGTACAAGCATTCTAATCAGTCGTGTTCTCCATGTTGGAAGTGTAATATAGCTAGAACCGTGCCCGTTGGACATTGCAATTCACAAACGATGCAAGTAGATTACACTTATGGCAGTATCAAAGACTGTGCCAGCTAATAACAGAATAATAATTCAATGGCTAGTGCCCGAGATTAACAAAGGATATGTTTATAAATGTATTTTAAAGTAGGTTTTGAGAAAACATCCCCAAAGCTTCCAGTTTAAAAATAAAGGTGTTAATTGAAGGGCACAATAAATAACAAATTATAATGATTCGTATTGATGAGGGTATTTGTTCTCTTCAAGATCTTACTTCTAAATGGAACTCAAAGTTGGATTCATATATATCAGAAAAGTACCTGTCCCAATGTTTTAATACAATACGAAATTGTGTGGAGGACAGCAAGGCACGGAATTTCCAACATAAACTCATCCATCGTATCATACCATCAAAACTCATCCATCGTATCATACCATCAAAACTCATCCATCGTATCATACCATCAAAACTCATCCATCGTATCATACCATCAAAACTCATCCATCGTATCATACCATCCAAACACATCCATCGTATCATACCATCAAAACTCATCCATCGTATCATACCATCAAAACTCATCCATCGTATCATACCATCAAAACACATCCATCGTATCATACCATCAAAACTCATCCATCGTATCATACCATCAAAACTCATCATACCATCGTATCATACCATCAAAACACATCCATCGTATCATACCATCAAACTCATCCATCGTATCATACCATCAAAACTCATCCATCGTATCATACCATCCAAACACATCCATCGTATCATACCATCAAAACTCATCCATCGTATCATACCATCAAAACTCATCCATCGTATCATACCATCAAAACTCATCCATCGTATCATACCATCCAAACACATCCATCGTATCATACCATCAAAACTCATCCATCGTATCATACCATCAAAACTCATCCATCGTATCATACCATCCAAACTCATCCATCGTATCATACCATCAAAACTCATCCATCGTATCATACCATCAAAACTCATCCATCGTATCATACCATCAAAACTCATCCATCGTATCATACCATCAAAACTCATCCATCGTATCATACCATCAAAACTCATCCATCGTATCATACCATCAAAACTCATCCATCGTATCATACCATCCAAACACATCCATCGTATCATACCATCAAAACTCATCCATCGTATCATACCATCAAAACTCATCCATCGTATCATACCATCAAAACTCATCCATCGTATCATACCATCAAAACTCATCCATCGTATCATACCATCAAAACTCATCCATCGTATCATACCATCAAAACTCATCCATCGTATCATACCATCCAAACACATCCATCGTATCATACCATCAAAATCATTTCTTTACAAAATATGATTGATAGAGGATAACCTTTGTACATTTTTGCCAATCAGAACGTGAAACACTAGAACATTTGTTTTTTTACTGCCGAAAAATTCAAATTATGATAAATGAGTTCACATTTTGGTATGAAAGTAGAACCTGAAATTAGACTGAAATATGAATAATTTCCTTCTTGGCGATCCAAGGTTGAGTATCCTTGAAAACCACCTTTTATACTAACCAAGCGTTATATTCAAATATTCAAATAACCTAATTATTACCGCTAATAAAATATAATCACAACATAGAAAATTCATTTCTGGAAACAAAACGCAAACCAATGTTTGATCACATCTTCCTCTCTCTTCTCTGTTTTCTTACTTTCCTATATCCCTATTCCTTTTTCTTTGTACTTTATTCATACAGTCATTAATCATATGTCGTCGCCCATTTAATCTGCAGCTTGTATATACACATGTATGTATTCTCTGTATTATCCAGCTATATGAATATTGTATTACTTGCTATCGTAATAAAAAAAGTATAAAAAATTAACAAACTATTTAATCGATCGAAATGACATTGAATTGCATCAGATTGCAACATGACCTTTGAAACAATCGCTTTCAGGTGGATCTTCTGACGCCAACGATTCTGGAGCAGGTTGTCATACAAGGATGGTCCGAGGGGGAAGTTGAGTTTCTCATCAACGCTTTTACTCTGTCGACTGGAATGAGAGAAGATAACCTGACAACCTATTTCAACAGTAGTGGAGAAGTCAAGGTAACATTACTGGACATGACAGTAACTATAATGAGTGATTTCAGGGATACTTAATATACAGGTCATGTGATTATCATATACTACAATCACTGCTATGCCTCTAGACGTATAGGTTTGTGGTATGACACAATACAGAAATGATCATATTGTCTTCATAGACTTTGTTCAACTTTCATCTATGAAAGTTTGGACCAAAGATATTACCGAGAAACATAATTTACAGATAGTTATGATGGTTTGAAAAGTCTTTGGGACTTACAAAAACAGAAAACAAAGCGCGTATTTCTGGGTTCACTGTTTGAAACATGTCATGTTTGTTACTCTTTATCTACATCTACATGACGTTAGTTGTTCAATTTTTAAAAACTGAAATGCATGCCTTTTGTTTCAAAAGTTCACGGGAAGTGTCTTTGTGCCAGTTTGTTACCAAAAAGACTAAAGCAGCATTGCGATCATCGTTTACTGGTTTCTGGTGGACACACCTCTTTGGTCCTCTCAAGGACATGGGTTATTTTCCGATAGGTCTTCTCCAAGGGTGGTATACGTATTTGATCGTAGTATGCTTTTATTCAGCCTGAAGTACTGAAATAATTTTGCACAGATTTGGATGCCACTCAATCTGACAACATTGACCCTCTTCACAGTGACATATTACTGTGCTTCATAACAGTCAACGTTAGAATTACCGGTTATCTTGCTTCCCGTATGGAAACATTTAAAAGAATGGAAGTGTTTGGAGTAGTGGTGGTTTCCCTGTTGTTTTGTATCGTCTGAATTATGCTCTTACTCTTCTGTGAAATCATGTATGTGATTAGGTATGCAGTAACATATCAAAATCTGCTGCAATGTTGAGTTTACCAACCATATAAATATTATATCTCCTTGAAGTCCTTCCAAGCACACACACACACACACACACACACACACATGAGTAATGGGTATACATATGGATTAAATGAATGTTATAATTTTTTTAATTCCAGGTATTTCGTCTAAATCCGACGTACCAGTCGGATGTGTCACAGAAGTTCCACCTGACTAGACGGCTCACACGGATTGTCCGACTGCATTTGCTTCGTGAGAAGCCCCATCTTTGTGTTAAGTTTGATCTTATTGGCTGTCCAAAAAAGAGGTTAGTCATGCTATTCCAGTTATTTGTATTTTATGCCTCCTTATATTCATTGCTCACAAGGTGAAGTACAAAATAAGTCTTTGGTTATCAATTTATGTAAACTTTCAACTGTGTAATAACCTGACACTAATATACTAATGGAAAAAGTAACTGTGCATAACATAGAATTGCATGAATAAAAGTTATTGAAAAGTTATAAAGATAACCCTAATAAACATGTAGCAAAGCACTTTGCATGAAATTTGATGTCACATATCACGCGTGGCACGTGCACTGTGTGCACAAAGAATTTACTCACTTTTTGTATGTTTTTTTTACTCCTGAAGTTCACGCACATATTGAAAATTAAAGTACGGTTGATTATTCTCTAGCCTCTGAGTGTTGTGGAAAACACGTTAATTTCAACCTAAACTGTTCACAATGCTATGAAAACCAGAATACAACGTACTAAGGGAAATACTATGTTATTACACAGTGAGCTTGGATTTAAAGTGCCAAGACCAGAGTGTCAAGCTTGGCCTACAGCAGATGCCCACACACAAACTATATCCATCCGTTGAAAGGTATGACTTGTATACTCACAAGAACATGACCATAGAGGCATGTCGCCTCTTTTACTCCTCCAAGAGAAATCTGTATGTGGCTTACCAGTATCACAACAGGGTTTGTCGCATGCTGATTGGAACCAGGTACAGTCGCCATTATCGGAATCGCTGGGAAGAAGGGCATGGACCAACAACTGAATTTGGAGAAGATGTGTGCACGAAAGGTATGTCACTTACGTGATGTGAATAAATCGTGAATGAGACCTGGAAACTCTTAATGGTAAACCTCACACACTCTCTCTCTCTCTCTCTCTCTCTCTCTCTCTCTCTCTCTCTCTCTCTCTCTCTCTCTCTCTCTCTCTCTCTCTCTCTCTCTCAACATTCAACATTTATCTTTGCCTTCTTTTATTTGGCACGGTTATTCACGCTTACATACTACAACGAATGCCACTGCATAAACTTAATCCACCCATCTCTATAAGCATGAGCTACAGGGATGACTTGAATTGATATCGTCAGTATGTAAATGATTAGCTGCGTACGAGGGAGTTAGTTACATGGGGATTTCGGATTAGTCCCAAGCTATGTTTCCTGGTCGAACAAATGGATCCGTGTCATCGTACCCTAATGGAGGGGATCGCTGCTCACAAGATCAAGACCCGTGAAGATCCGGGTTAGAACTAATCTTCAGTAAACCATGCTTGTCGTGAGAGGCGACTATCAGGATTGGGTGGTCAGGCTTGCTGACTTGGTTGACACATGTCATCGGTTCCCAATTGCGCAGATCGATGCTCATGCTGTTGATCACTGGATTGTCTGGTCCAAACTCGATTATTTGCAGATCGCTGCCGTATAGCTGGAATATTGCTGAGTGCGGCGTAAAACTAAACTCACTCACTCACATGATCAATCACTTGTCCAAACTCGATTGTTTGCATATTTGATGGAATATTGCTCATTAACCATGGATGCATGTTTCATGATAAGGAAGTTTATGTATGATGTCCCTGATGCCAGTTTCTTGCAAAGACTTTTTTATAAAGTTTGGAACAAGCACCGATTAGGACACTATCGTATTCACTTCATGCTGTATGAAATTATCTTTCTCTTTTCAGACATCTCCAAGGATTTTTATAAATGTGGTGGCATCGTAAACCACACTGGAGAGATTATCTCCCCTTCTTACCCCTTCTACTATGGAGAGAACATTAACTGTACATGGACTGTGAGACTTGGGGAAGGAACATTTGTCAGCCTTGACCTTGTTGATGTAGATCTCGCACCTAAAGAAGAACACTATGTGAGATTGTTGTGCCAAGCTTTGATCCACTGAAAGTATTCATTAAGTTGTAAAGAAAACATTAAGGGAAAGTTTAGGGAATGAGTTCTAATACATATCTAATTTACTACACGTATTTAATCTTACAACATCTCGGTTGATCGTTTTGTATCCGCCATGATCTTAAACATAAATATCTTAAAGCGATGCCATATACAATAACCAAAGTTCATTTGAACGTATCACACAGTGTTGTTTATATTTATGGTTACTTATACAGGAAGCATCTGCATATTTTGACTGCGAGGACACGCTGACAATATATGATCGTCACAGAGACGGCGACCATGTCGTTGTATCCATGAAAGGTCATCCGTTTGAAACTCTTGAGGAACCACACTACCTGTCCTCTTCGAATGAGATCGAGATCAACTTGATCACTTGTCCCAGACTGACAGAAGCAACGTCTCGAGGTTTTACGATCAAAGTGGATTCAATAGGTACAGTTAACCAAACCAAATATTTATTTGCAAAAGCATTTCATCCTTTAGTCATGATACCTTTTAATCCATCTCGCTTGAGGGGCCATATAATATACGTCAAACGCCATCCTAGTACGCTTTGCCATTTGAGATGACATTTTGATCTATTTATTTATTCCTAGCCGACCTGCTTTTGCTAAAGGAATTAAACTTAAATTGAAAAACCAAACGGCCGTGGATGTTGAAAGATTGTGTGAACATACCGTTCTTACATACATGTTCTCCATTAGTAACTAACGAATCAACCACAGGTCCGGTTTCGTCTGTATGAACCATTGCACTTTGACTTAGTTTTATATATGTATGTAGGATGGCCACATCTCTTCATATCCCTCAAATAATTCTTCAACAAATTAAATCCAACATACTCTTCATATTTCTGTTTATTATGAAAATGAACTCATTTCTGATTGATTTCTCCTTGAAAGACTGCGGGGGTTGTGGCCAGGGTGAGTCCAGCTGCTCCAGACAGGCCGTGTGTTCTCACCAGTGTGGCTACATCTCCAGTACTACCTTCCCCAACTTCTATCCAGTCTCAGCCAGTTGTTACTGGAGGATACAGGGTCAGGTTGGGCAGTATGTCACAGTGACATTTGAAATGGTTGATGTCATAGCTGTTGGTGAGTGTGAGGGAGACTACGTCAGCCTCTATGACCTTGACCTTACAAAAAAGAAAACATTACTTGGAAAGTTTTGTAAAACCAGAAGGCCAATAGGAGACATCCAGAGCAGTTGGCAGATGATGGATGTGGAGTTTTATTCTGACTTTGACACTGTTGGAAGAGGGTTCCTCCTGAAATATACCCTTCAGACTGTTCAGCTCAGCACAAGGTTCTTGAATTTGTCAGGTATGTTCTTCCACATTTCGAATGCATTCCCCTTAGTCTCCATATTTCGCGTTATCTCTGTATGCCACTAAATAATATCCGGTCAAATACCTGGGCACCAAAAAACATGGGCAATAAAACTGTCTTTTTGAGACCTTGTTATGTATTACGTAGGTCATTGTGACGAGAATTGGTACGAATATGGGCACAGCTGCTACCGCTTCATCACAAGTGACAAAGGACTCACCTGGATAGATGCTGAGAAACGCTGCATTGAAGCTGGAGGCCATCTTGTCAGCATAAGCGACACCGAGGAGACCAATTTCCTCCATTCGACCATTCTTAATAACAACCTTTTTTCTGAGCAACAAATATACATAGGTGAGTGATTGAGTTTAGGTTTACGCCGCACTCAGCAATATTCCAGCTATATGGCGGAATAAACATAGTTAAATAACAGTGATTAACAATGTTAACAGCATTGTTATGGTCTTTTACGAGTCTTGCGCTTATATAGATTTTGTTACGGTTTAGGAATTACTGAGATAAAAGGTTTCCGAGTCCCCTTTAAACCAGCAAAATAAACCACAAAATGTCTATAATGTTCAATTATATATTGAACAAACAAGATTACAATGAATGACAGTACAGATTTCTAATACAATACTATTGAATCACAAATCTAAAATCTTGGGTCACAAATCTAAAATATCAACTCACAAAAGTATCCCAGTAATAACGGATGTACTGATTGAAGTTCAATGTACTCTAAACAGGTGAAATTACACAGCCCAAGTTCAAGATGCGAGTTCAAATCCACACTCAGAGCTTTAATTTTTTGTGACCTATAACACCTAAAAATTAATTAATGGGACATTAATTATTACACATTAACATTACACATTCTCATAACATGTATGTATGTATGTATGTATGTATGTATGTATGTATGTATGTATGTATGTATGTATGTATGTATGTGTGTGTGTGTGTGTGTGTGTGTGTGTATGTATGTATTGTATGTATGTATGTATTCGAGTATAATATTCGTATTATATATATATATATATATATATATATATATATATATATATATATATATATATATATATAATAAAATCGTATACATGTATATAACCATTTGTAATAGAAAAGTAGCTCCCCAACATCTTTGTATTGGGTTAGCACTGCTCTCCTTGACTGAATGTGTTATGAGAAGGGATGAGTATGTTTTCAGACCGCATTTAGCAATACTCCAGGAATATCAAGATTGGGAACTCCAGTAGTGGGTATCACTCACTTTATCCACTTTGGGAGTCAAACCAGGGTCTTCGGCGTGACTGGCTCCCCTCACAACCCCGAGAAAAAATGACCATCTTCTGATTCTACTTCCAGAATAATGTTATGGTTGTGGTTTATTTTCACATTTTCGATTGCGCGTCATGTTTACACGTTCTGCGTGACCACTGATATGGCTTTAGAAATGTATGTCCCTGTAAATGTGTCTTTATTTTGTCCAGGGCTTCGAAAACAAGGTCAGAACAGATACATATGGGCGGATGGAAAACCATTGTCGCATACTGAATGGTAACGTACCCCAAAACAACCTCAGTATGTTTTTAAGAAAATGAAAATAATTATTAAAGATGATAGATTGATAAAGATAAGTTCTAATATTACATATAACAGAGACATTCAGATAAATGTGTCAGTATGGCAAACATATTGGAAAAAATACGAAAACAGCAAGTGCAAACAATCAGATAGATTCACTTGTGTTCGCTGTCGTCTTCGTCTTTAGGTATGCTGGCGATTCTGAAGGAGCTCCTCAGCCGGATGGGTTTGAGAGAGAGGCGTGCACCATGATGGCCATCTCCAGCATCAGATCCACCGACAACTGGCACGACGTGGCCTGCGCCTTTGACAAAATCTCACAGTACATCTGTGAGACGTCAAACAGTACATTGGTTTCATCAGGTTCAATGTATTTTGCTAACAAACAGCGTTTCTAAGTTAATTTACTGTGGGATTCCGTTTTTAATATTATTTGAGATGTTCTAATTACAAGGTAGCAATTTTACTGTCTTTACTATTTCAAATATGACACTCTTTGATTAAATTCACAAGCCTAGATGTTTATCTTTTTAAAATTATCTTTCAATATTTTTTAAAGCAATTTCTTTTGTTACAGAATGAACATATGTTTGCAAGCATTTATTTACCAATACGTTTTTGAAAGCAAACAATCTCCCATACTCTTAATAATACGTGTTTTAATTATGTAAGTGTGATCTTATAGCATTCATTCGATACTTGACCTTTTCTTGATATATTTGCTATCTGAAAATTGATGACCAGGAACTATATTTGCGCAATAAAGCATCTTTGGTTTAAAAAAGGTAATTCATGCTGATCTTTGAAGAACATTTATATATTTTTTAATCTGTTGCAAATAATATACAATTCAGTTCCATAAACGTTAATACTTACAGAAAACCCCATGGTAATCGGCAGTGATGATGATGCTACGGCCGGGTATTACTTTCCCTGTACCAGCCAAGAGTACATTTCCAGGTTGTACACATGTGACGGAAGCATGGATTGCTTGGACGGGAGTGATGAAGCGAACTGTTCAACAGGTACCTGTGTTGATGTTGGTCACTGTCACATTACACCTGATTCATTGATGCATTAATACATCAATGCATTGCATGTATTTGTCTTTCAGAAACGTGTCCACTTGGCATGTTCACCTGTACTGATGGAGGATGTGTTGACTTTGCCTTCTACTGTGACCACAAGGAACACTGCAGAGACGGGTCGGATGAAGCAAAGTGTGGTAAGGGTCTGATGACTAATTTCAGTATGACAATTTTCTCTTAATTTTGTTGTAACTTGAATATTCTGTCCCCTAGTGTCCCGTGAATGTTCCTCTGACCAGTGGAAATGTAGCAGTGGACAGTGTGTGTCAGCTGACCAGAGATGTGACCTCCTACAGGACTGTGTAGACGGATCAGATGAAGAGAACTGTGGTGAGACAATATCTTTTTTGGAATTTAACATGGTTGTGTGATGTCTAATATCTGGCATTTGCCGCTTTTAAATAGCGTTTTGTTGAACATAAGTATTTGTATATGTATACAAATGGAATCGTGTTTTCAATGTCAATCCGAATTCAGTTAAAGGACAAATAAACTTGATTTTTTTGTACTCTTTTAACCATTACATATGAAAGATTTGTGGTTAGTCTTATGCGGAACACCAAATTCATTCTTAAAAAACTTGTGGTTAATTAATACCGAGCGATTAAAAGTTGCCAAAAGGTCGCCTGCTTCACTCTCGCCCGCCAACGAAACCACAGACAGGTTACGTAACTCTGTCGCCAGAGCACTGCAGTGACGTCATATGGGGAACGATTTTCAGTTAGCTGTATATAAAGTGTGTAGCAAGCTCGTCATTTTGATGATTTCTCGACATCAACGAAGACATGCCGAATCGTTGTGTTGTCGTCAATTGCTCCTAGAGGTCGGGCAATGGTGTCACCATACACAGATTTCCACAGGATCCCTCAAGTTCGTGCTAAATGGGTTATGTTTGTGAGTGCGAAGCGAGCGTTGTGGAAGCCTGAAACGATATCTTACTTGTGTTCAGATCGCTTCACGGAAGTTAAAGAATCAAAATTACTTACTAGTTGTAGTAAAGTATGTATATGATTGATGACCATAAAGATTTTCCATGACACAACTTGTAAAATAACGATTTCTTCCTCGGAAGCGAGGTTGTGGTCGAAGTAACAATAATATTGTAAGTAGTATTATATTGACACCCACCTCGCTTCCACGAGAGAAATTGTTATGTTATAAGCTATGTCATGCAAAATCCTATTGGCCATCAATCAAATACATATTTTACTACGAGTAGAAAGTAGTTTTGATTTTGTAACTCGGTGAAAACAAACCTAAATAGCATTTATCCTCAGACTGGCGGATGTTCGCGACAGGGCGCCGCCATTTTTGAAAATCGTAAAGTCACGGGCTAAAGTCTGTTAGAATTAATGAGATTATGGTTTGTTTTCATCAAGTTCGAAAATCAAAACTACTTTCTACTCGTAGGTAAATGTGTATTAGAATCATGACCAAAAGGCTTTTGCATGACACAACTTGTAACACAACGATTTCTTCCACGGAAGCGAGGTGGGGGTCGAAGTCACAATACTGCGCGATAAATTTCTTGCTACATTCACGTGGTTAACGTCCACTCACAAGTGTGTAGATACTAGTCAATGTATGTCTTTATATTTGGTCTTATAATCCTAATTAGTTTAATCATACTTGTATGCATTTTGAAACTAAATAAAAAGCAGACGATCTGCTGATACTTATAGTGAATTTATAATAGGACTGTAATATTCACGGCGAAAACAATGATTCTGTTGAATGACATTTATAGTTTGCAGATTAAAGTTATAGGAACAATGTGAATCAGGAAATTCGCACACACGCCCTAATGTATGTAAAAAGGTGTCTCATTACATTGAATGCTACGACTGCATAATGTCCGCCATTCTTTAAAAAAAGTAATTTAGTTAGCCAATAATGAGCAATCAATCAATGTATTGGCGGTTAATCCTTTGAAAGAAGGATGTTTCATTGTACAATTCAATAATTTCTGAATAAAAGAGTTTGAAGAAAGATTTCAATCGCCTGAAGGCAAGAAAGAGAGTCAGAAAAGATGATACATTGTTGATATTTACGGTGTGAGTTAACATATTTTAAAGCTTTAATATGGCGTTAGCTTCCTCGCCGTGAAAAATAGAGCCACAGGCAATCGAGATTAAGAAATTCTGATCTGAATGACAGTGGCAATGCTAACCGCGCCACCATCCTTGATCCATCTGTATATACGGGATGTATAGGTATTATATTTATTTCTTTAATTGACTTAAATTTTTTGGTTTCATACTCGTAGATCATTAGTTTCTGATTTTTAAATGTGTTTTACACACACAGACACAGACGCGACAGAGTGTATTCAGTATAGATGAGTAAATCTACATACATAAACACTACCTTTTGACAAATCCGCTGTGCAAGATAAAGGTAATTAATCAATCAGCGTGTTATCGGTTAATCCTTTGATCGATGTTTATAATGTTGAGTATTTACTCAAGACACAAAAAATGCCCAGTGGGAACTTTTGTCGGGTAATCTAAGTGGTGTTACCACTAATTATACCTGTTATAAATTCATTAACTGACCATCAAGTGAATGAGGACAAATAGTATGTGTAGGTTTATACCACCTAACACGGGTTACAACAAGGGTGTATTAATTGCTCTATTGCATGCAATTATAATTGCATGTGAAAACTTATGGGCAGACACTGTTTTGAGAATACGAACAGAACTTCGTTGTTGCATAAGAAAAACATATAAGCATTTGCTGTGTGCTAAACCTGTATGTATCTATTTACCTAAGTAAATTTTCAGATTCTTCTAGCGATGGCAAAGTAGGGTTGTTTAGTTTACGGATTCAAATAAATCAAATGTCAATTTTTAATATCATACGTAATAGACGTCGTATTTTTACATGACATGATTAAATATCGAGGTGAAAAAACCACAGAAATGAGATCAATTTGGATCAGTCATTATACCATCCAGGCATTAGAAAACCTGAAAAAGCCCACACTGCTTTGATACTTTATTACAATCAGACAAGAACTACCGGAGATATTTTCAAATAACTGCATCTGATGGGCATCCACCCTTCTTAATGTCGCACTGTTTAGGTTGAAGAAATAACCGTAACCGTGATGAGCGAGGCTGATCATCGTTTTCACTCTCACTAGCGTCTGAATCGAACAAATAAGGCCTAGCGACACCAAGCGATTTTGACAGAATCGTCTATGAAAACAAGTTGTAACTCGGAAACTAGGTAAAGCAGGAGACAAAATTAAATGACAGTAGATTGTGAGAACATGTAGCTTTCATTTTTCAGAACAGTTGTCACGATTTCAGGTTTATACAAACCTGTAAACAAGATAATTTACCCCCTGAAATGTACATGAATTCTGCATCGGCCCTCATATCTATTCCTCACATGACGTCACAGACACGCGCCGCTCTGATTGGTTGAAATGTCGTTCGCGGGTGAGAATTGTGAATTATTGTCAAAAAGGTCGATTTAAGTTAATTAAAGATCGAAATGAGTAGTTTTACTGACGTGGTTTCATTTATAACCATGCCAATAAGTGATTTATGTATTTGTACCCCCCTAGAGTATATGTGATCTTTAATGCCATTAGGAAAAATCCCATTTTGTTTTATAGTTGTTTGGATATTTATGACATCAGAAATAGATTAATATCTCTAACCTACACCAATTAATATTCGTGGTTTTTAACTTTTGTTGACATGTATTGAGAAAGTGCTGGACAACGTGTGTGCACATAACATATCCACTACTGGAAGAGCAGGACATACGTACCCTTTTCGCGTACACCCGGTGCCACCGGGGTGATTTTCAGTAATCCATTCATAATGTGTACGACTAAATGTTCCTTTTTTCCAAACAGAATTTGTTTCAGAGGATAGTCAAGATTGGGTATTCTTTTTCACTGACGCCCTGCATTTAAAAATAGACTAATCGTTTATGGTTGACACCTTTGTGATTTTGGAGAACCAGTTTCATTTTTATCAGTTTGTGAAAATTCACATTTTGTTTTGCAGAGACATGCCAAAATAACTTCTTCCAATGCTACGATGGACAGTGCTTGCCCCCTGCCAGGGTGTGTGACGGGTTTGTGGACTGTGGGGGGACAGTACAGAGAAGACGAGGGTACTCAGTGTACCACCAACAGTCAGCCGTCTTGTAGGGAGTGGTATGCCCTGGGGTCAAGGAGAAATGGCGAATATAGTATTGTGATTGGGAACAGTACGTTTCATTCCTAAATGTTCATAGATATATGTTTATTATAATCTATATCCGTCACCAATCAGCAGTAGAAATTTATGAATGAGAGAATAAATCATTCTGTATTTATTCGTGTCAGTTAAGTTATATCGAGTCAGATGCAAGTGGAAGCCAATCTGATCATGCGTGTCTTTTACGTATGGAAATCCTATTGGGGTTCAGACCCTACATCACAGCAAGTTACAGGCATGCCTAAGAGAAGCAGCATCGCAAAGTGAATTGCTATGTAGGTTGTAGCTCAACCACTGAAGACATTTTGATGATAATCTATACTGGACAAAAATAGTTAGGGATATTTGAAATTATGAATAATGATCTATTTATTCATTGACACACTGATAAAATATCAATCATAAAAATACCAATACCCTAACTTATTTTGTCCAGTATATTTTAGATTCAGTTACAGTTTCATCAAACAAATAACCATTCAAAGTTACCGTACGAAGAACCCTTACTGGTTAGTACTCGTAGAACATTAGACCCAGTTAAAATTGGCCTTCAGTAACCCATGCTTGTCGTAAGAGGCGACTAACGGGATCGGGTGGTCAGACCGGCTGACTTGGTTGACACATGTCATCGTATCCCAGATGCGTAAATCGATGCCCATGCTGTTGATCACTCTATTGTCTGGCCCAGACTCGGTTATTTACAGACCGCCGCCATATAGCTGGAATATTGCTGGGTATGGCGTTAAACAACGAACCAACCAAACAGTCGTAGAACATAACATTTCTACAGATCTTGCCCCTCAACAACTTAATTCCAGAGACGTACCCGGTGGAGTGTAAATTCGATATGAGCGAAGGGATGATAACCACCATCATCCACCATGATTTGGAGGACTGGACAGTTACACGGGAACCAGGATATGATAAGAAGTTCCATTACGACATCCCGAATGATGACATCAAACACATAAAGTCTGCCTCCGTCTCATGTCGGCAACACCTTCAATTTGATTGTCTTCAAGCATACTACTTTTATGAGGATCGTTTATGGTGGAAGGACATACGAGGAACACAGAGAGGATTTAAAGATAGCACAAACAGTACCTGCAGCTGTAGTTTAAAGGGCGCCTGCACTGCCAACTCTACTAAGTAAGTGTTTTTATATTTGTGTCCTATCATGAAGATCGAACAATGAGCGCGTTTTATAGGCATTGATGTTGTGCTTTGGTGGAAGGTGATTTGTCTGCCCTTCTGGTGACTCAATGTGAAAACTCAAACTAATTAAATATTCCAATTTTCTCAGAAAGCTAGTAACAGATATAAGGGCTTAAACACATTCAACAGTGTTTATTAGAATACTAAACATCACAGTCATTTGATACAAAACAGAAAACATGGGGTTGGATTACTAGTCAAATTGTTGTATCACTATTAGCTTAGATTCATTTCACAGTGAATGATAACATCTGGATATATGGACAATGACTGGGCAATCATGCCGTGATGGCTACAATGCAAGTTTGAGTACATATTCAGAATGAAGACAATTTCAGGTATATAAAAGCAATAATTCACATGTTTTATAGAAAGCACGTTAACGAGTCAGCTGCATGTTTAACAGATGCGCATGTGACAATACGAGAGACGATTTAACCAGAGCAGACGACAACACATGGGAGTCTGACAGTGGCTACTTTGACGACATTGATGGCTTGCCCATAACACATCTATGGATGCGATCACAGTTAAGATTAAGCCGAGTGAGACATCTCGTTGGGCCTCTCATTTGTGAAGAATGTAAGTGACTCAAATGTTGCGATTGTTTGTACAGTCGAACACCATTGCGTCGAAGTTGAAGAGACCTACGTTAATACTTCGAGTCTGAGGTTCCACGCAACCGAAAGAAGCTAAAAAGGGAATATGCAGGGAGAAAGCTATAAATTTGAGGCACCTCAAAGTTTCAACATCAAAGTTCGACATAGCGGTCTTTGACTGCGTATGATCTTTAACAGTAAAATAGAATTACTGGAATGACATAAATGAATCACGTACTCCATAATGATGTCGGTCAAGGTACCTATAAAAGCGTAGACACCTGTATACCAGAAGATCAGAAATTTGGATGATGTGAAATGGTGTTAATTGCACTTGATAAGCCCTGTTTCATAACCCTAACACATTTGTTCATTGCAGCATCAGAGTCCAACACGAGTTCCCTGATGTGTGCGAGCGGTGTAGTTGTTGACATCTCTCACAAATGCATCCTGGATTACGACATCTATCAGCACTACACAGGATGTCGAGACCTCACACATGTAGTGGATTGTGGTAGGTATATATAGTCGATACACTCAATGAAAAGCTCCTATAAGCACCTGGTAAGGATGAGAACCGTCGTACAGAAACCACAAGAAAATATGAAACGTCATCCAGAGAATAATGAGATTATCTGCCGAATCAGATTCCCCTGGGCTTAAAAGGTGAAATAGTGTTGAACATATGCATAGATCACTGAAAACCAATGGTAACAGAACATGTTGGCGAGGAAAAAGGCAATATGACAATGTGAATTCACTTCCCCTGTATGCATTCATGTTTGGTTACTTCGACAATTAGCATTAAAAATCATGATAAATTCCTCGTTCAGAATACAATATATTTTACTAATGTATTGGGCAGACCTTATACGTTGTAAATGTATGTCCCCATGACACCAGAGAAGCACGAGTGCCCAGCTGACCACATCAAGTGTCCCTCCAGCTACTGTATCCCTGTCAGGCTGGTCTGTGACGGACGCCCGGACTGTGCTGACGGGATGGACGAAACAGGATGCAGTAGGTTTAACTGATATCATGTTTTTATCAGTCATTAATCATGGTAAAGGTACTTATGTTAGTAAAATCAGATCTAAGTCGCTGTGAAAGAATTGGTATTTAGGCCATGTGTCTGTAGCAGGGCAGGGAATGTAATAAAACTACACACACAAGCTAAGGGTGTGAGCTATTGCCAATCTTGCCAAGTATATAGCACGATATATGTTGATAAGTATTCTAATTGCAATACGATTATGAACTACAAATTGTACTCACATAGTAAATGGATAGGAGGTTACCTGATCTATATTAAACTTTTTTAAGTAATGGATATAGTTAATTGTACAAAACAGTATGACACATCTGATAGTTATACAAAGCTAAAATAGACTATACAAGCAATGAGCCTACCCTGTGGATGAGACTGGGTTGTCGACTACCACAGCAACTCATGTATTCGGAATGTATCTGAATAAAATGTATATACTCTAATAACTAAGAGTAACACACTTATACAATTTATATACTACTAGAAATGTTAATGCTGTATATTGCATACACATACCTAACCACAACAGAATTTAAATAAGACTATTCTGCAACACATTCAGACTCTTATCTCATGCACACAAGAGTAAAGATACAGAAAAGCTGTTTGTTAGTATTTACAAAAGCTTACAATTTATAAGCCTGGTTTAGCACATTTATGCAAACAAATAATGGATGAGATTTACATAATATCAAACGCTTAGTTTACTTTGATAGGACAGGTTTGATGTACTGCAACATATACTGAGTCCATAAAGAAACTTCACAAAATGGAATTTGAAAAATAATGAATATTTTTTCTCTGATGATACATCTATGTATCCGAAATGGGATCCCTATCTTTCGACTCTAGAAAAACCTTAGCAAAACCCACTCGAACCCATCCATTCGTCGTGCAAATGACGTTAGTGCCAAATCAGGTTTTGCACGTGCAGTCGATCACGTGATCTTCGCATCGAAGTTTTCTTCATATGCACGTGTTTGCCTCAAGAATTGAAAAAACACTTTTAAACCACAGTTCTAACGGTACTTGAAATGCCACGATTGTCAAATGTGCAACGTGAACATGCCGTTGGCATGTTGCAAGCGGGAAGATCAGTTATTGACGTCGCAAGAGCAATGGGATGCAGCCGTCGTACTGTGTATGACTTGCGAGGTCGTCTACAACAAACTGGCACCACTTCTGATCGCCCAAGGTCGGGTCGTCCACGTGTGACGTCACGAGCAGAAGACCGTCAAATCGTCCTACGTCACCTACGTGACAGATGTCTGCCGGCTACACGAACCAGGCCGGGGCTGAGATGTTTAGAGGTCGACTGTCCTCACAGACCATTCGAAATCGGTTGCGGGCTGCCAATCTCCATTTTCGACGTCCATATCGTGGGCCAATATTGACGCCGTTTCATCAACGTCAACGTCTGCTGTGGGCCCAACGTCACCTCCGATGGACCCAGAGAGACTGGAATCGAGTCGTCTTTAACGATGAATCCAGGTTTACCCTCAGATTCGCGGACGGCAGGCATAGAGTCTGGAGACGACGTCGTGAACGGTATGCCCAATGTTGTGTACAGGAAGTCGACAGATTCTGGGGCGGAAGTTGCATGGTGTGGGATGCTTTCTGTGGGAACAACCGTTCCAGACTTCTGGTCATCCGTGGAAACCTCACAGCTGCTGCTTACCGCGACCAGGTGATCACCCCTGAACTCGTTCCTTTCGTGGCGGCTCATGGCCCAGGTCTACAGTTCCAGCATGATAATGCTCGGCCGCATACCGCGATGTTGACACGAAATTTTCTTCAAAACGCTGGAATCAACGTCATGGACTGGCCATCGAGGTCCCCATACCTTAATCCAATAGAGCACGTTTGGGATGCACTTGGGAGAAGGCTTCGTGGTCTTAGGAACCAACCTCAGAATTTGCAGGAACTTTGCGCTGCCTTGCAAGAGCAATGGCGCAGAATCCCCAACCACGTGTTCACAAGCATCAGGCAGTCGATGAGGAGACGGTGTTTGGCAGTGGTGAATGCGCGGGGCGGCCATACACGATATTGAACTGAGAAATTTCGCATTTTTATTCTTGTGACTTGACATTCTGTATACCCATGTTTTGGAACGGCGGTGTAGCCTAATGGAACTGATTATGGCACTGTCAGTGTATCGAGTACATCACACAGATCTCAGCAATGAAATAATAACAATTTAACCATCTTACCATCTCTTGTTCTTTTAATGTGAAGTTTCTTTTTTGACTCAGTATATAAATGCAATAATATAAATATATTGAGATATATCGGACTAACCTGATATGAAGAGTTCTGTCAAGTTGTCTGTGGAGTGACTTTGTGCAGACTGAGTACAAGCTATTAGACAAAGGGTTGAACTTTAATATACTCAGCAGCAAACAAAACGTAATTACGAATTCAAAATTAGATAGGCACTGTAATCAAATCATTACAGAAATGGACATAATAAGTGGATCAAATTCATTATATGTGTACAATATCTTGACACATCAATGAATAACTAAGCACAATTTCAAGACATTACTTGAGCGTTTGCAGTCTATTTAGACCCTTGACTTCAGTATCTAGTGTGACCACCACGAGCGGCAATAGCTGCAGCACAGCGTCTATTCATGGAGTGCACCAATCGATTGATGAAGGCTATTGGCACCTGGAACCACACTCTGAGAAAGGCCTGGCGCAATAAATCGGCTGTGTTCGGCCTTGGTGTGACATTATTCAGTCTCCTCTGAATTTCATCCCAAAGATGTTCAATTGGGTTTAAATCAGGACTAAGGGCTGGCCACTGCATAATGTTAACACCGTTCTGCTGTAGGAAGTCCCGTGTAGCTCTGGCAGCATGGGCCCGGGCTCATATGACGACGTGAATGCGTGTGTATGTGTACACGCGGCTGCTTGTACTAGCCCAGGCTTAAACTGGTTTTATAGTGCTAGCTCACTGAGATACCATGCCGCAGTGAAGCATGAATACCCCACTCAGACACATTATACTGACTCCGAGCCGACCACTCCTTGTTGTACCCATTAATACCGAGCGCCAGGCAGGGACCAACAAGTACCATATTTTAACGTCTTTTGGTATGACGCGGTCGGGGATCGAACCCGCGACCTTCCGCACTCCGGGCGGACGCTTTAACCACTACACCACGGAGGCGGTCCCGCTGTTAAGACGTCGGCGTACTGTATCAGTACTGATTGGTCTTCTGTGTGTTCCCACTGTCTGGCGTGCTGTTTCGGATGCCTTCCAGAAGGGATTCAGTACATGCTGTCACACAACATGGCGGTCTTGTCGTCTTGTGGTCACCCTTGGTCTGCCAGTACGATCATTTGTGGTGTTGGTGGCCCGAAAACGTTGCTGCAGCCTGTAGATGGTCCGAACGTTGACCTGGAAGTAATTGGCAACGGCTTGTGCAGTGTGGCCAGCTTCAAGTCTTCCTAGCGCCTGGTTCCTCTGAGCTGTCGTGAGTTGCGGCATCCTGCTGACGTTGTAATGTGAATGTTTCAACCAGGTTTGGGGGTGCATTTTATAGGGCTGGTCCTTGTGAACAGCACGTGCAGCATGAGTTGTATGAAAAACATGGAGAACACCGTACCATCTCCGAGATCAGGTTGCGTTTTTGAGACCATTTCCTGGGTTCCATTTTGATTTTGGGAAGGAATGTCTTTGCTCAGGTAAAGTTGGAGATGTTGTCAAAAATATACAATCAAAACATTAAATGGGTTGACAGTTATCCGTTTCTGCGAAGGAAATTCCAAACTGACGTTTCTTTTGCTGCTTAGTATATATATACAGAATAGAAAACACTAAAATATTAAAATCCCCTTTTCCCAAAATTCTATCTCCCACATGACCATACATTCAAACATGATGAATTATTGTTTCTGGAATATACGTGGGACGCACCCATACATATTTTGTTCCAAATGATAACAGTAGGCTTTTACCGTATACTCAGCCTTTCGATTAACTTAAACAAAGAGAGCTCATATGTCACAAATTACATGTCTCTCTTCTTATATTCCAGTTAATGCCACATGCCCTGGTAGATTCCGTTGTCATGGCACCAGGGTGTGTATTCCATGGCAACAAGTGTGTGACAAAGTCCGACATTGTCCTGATGGAGACGATGAATATTTCTGTGACACCAGCTGCCCTGATGAGTGTGTCTGTAAAGGTGCCTATATCACTTGTACTGGGTTCCATCTCGACAAAACTAAACACCTACCCAAATATACAAGAGTGCTCAAATTAAGTGGAAGTGTTGATAAAACTTTGAAAAATGATACCTTCCACCATATGGACACCTTAGCCTTCCTGGACCTTTCCCACCTTGGGGTTCATGTACTTGAAGAAGTATCGTTAAGTGGACTGAACAACTTAATGCATTTAGATCTCAGTAAGAACTCAATAAGCTTCATACCCGAAGGATTATTTCAGGGTATGGAAAATCTTGTGTCATTATTACTCAATGAAAATGGAATGCTCAAACTGGGTGCTTCATCATTTGATGGACTAAAACGTCTACCTTCACTGGACCTTTCCGGTATTGCTCCAGGGAGATTGACCAGGGACATGTTTCAGGGGCTATCTAGTCTTCTGTATTTGAACCTCTCTAACAGTAGAATCAGTAGAATAGAAGACAACAGTTTCAATGGACTCGGCAAATTGCTCACAATTGATCTGACAAACAATGTCATCACAGATTTTACCGGAGATCTATTTTATGGACTAAACCAGCTGAACTACCTGTACAGTGATAGATATGTCTTCTGTTGCTTCAAACCTCAGAGTGTCCCATATGAAGAATGTCTACCTGCTGCTGACGAATTTTCTTCTTGCTCTGACCTGATGAGGAATGAAGTTCTGAGAATATGCATATGGGTTCTGGGCTTTGCAGCTCTCATTGGCAACTTTCTTTCACTTATTTCGAGATACATTTACGATAGGCAAAGTTTTAAACGCAGCAATGATTTTTTTGTTGCAAACCTCGCTATTTCTGACTTTGTGATGGGAATATACATGATCATCATAGCAAGTGCTGACACTTTCTACAGAGGAGTGTACAGTTGGAACGATGAGGCCTGGAGAAGCAGCTGGGTGTGTCAGCTGGCAGGTCTCCTAGCAACCCTGTCAAGTGAGACATCCGTCATGTTCCTCTGTATCATCACAGCAGACAGAGTCCTGGTCATCAAATTTCCTTTCAAAGATTTCAATATCTTCAAACGATATTCCAAGTACATCAGTCTCTCGGTATGGATTCTAGGTTTGCTGATGGCAGGGATGCCTCTTTTGCCCATAGATTACTTTGCAAGGTCATTCTACTCTCGATCAGGAGTCTGTCTCGCTCTACCGCTGACCAGGAACAGGCCGCCAGGATGGGAGTATTCCACCACCATCTTTGTCATCTGGAACTTCATCTGTTTTGTCTTCATCGCTTTGGGTCAGGCTGTTATCTACCAGGCAGTGAGAGCAAGTCAGAAGCTGAGAAAGGGGCGGACGACCAACGACATGACCATTGCTAGGAAGCTGTCCTTCATAGTTCTGACGGACTTTGTGTGCTGGTTCCCTATCTGTGTCATGGGTAAGGACTGACTGACTGAGTATGGTTTTACGCCGTTTTTAGCAATATTCCAGCAATATCACGGCGGGGGACACCAGAAATGGGCTTCACACATTGTACCCATGCTGGGAATCGAACCCGGGCCTTCGGCGTGACGAGCGAACGCTTTAACCACTTGGCTACCCCACCGCCCCCATTAGTAAGGAATATTTCTCCACTATAATACAATAACAGCCTGGTATGTAGTTCTTCCAAAACCACCGAAGTAACCGTTGCATTGTTGTATTGCATTGAAACTGCATTGTAATTAAAATAGCTCATTTGTTCAAACCTACAGAAGCAGACAAATACTAGTAGTACAACATTATGCCTTATAATCAAATTTCCCAACCACCATGTTTAAGGACACAAAACCCATCTACCGGTATATCAAAACAAACACATGTGATGATATCGGCAAACAGTCGATCGTTCGTATGTACATTTTGGTTTGGAATGAATGAGGTTATTGCTCAGAATAACATGAACTAGCACGACTCAAAGCCAATTAACGCAGACTTGCATTTCTATAACGTTCATAGAGCCTGTGGAAAACAATTTGTTCTATAGGCGTTGACATAAATCCAAAGCTACTCCAAACTAGAGTGTGGACTAGGATTATCTGCCTTGTCTCATGGAAGAGGTCACAGTCATTACTATTGTGTGCTGACGCCTTCCGTTTTGATCCTTCCTATTACATCTGAAAGGAGTATTGTTTCATACTTCTGTCAGCACTGACTCGGATAGTAAATGTAATTAAGTCTATGGACTCGACGAACATATGCAAAATCCATAAACAAAACTAATGGTAAAAGAGAAGTTTCATTAGGCCGTGAATCAACCTCATCAGTGACATCCATCTGGGCATTTCCGTATTTTACTTGTACCATACGTTTCCGTGTTTTTCCATAGGACTACAGTTTACATGCCTTTGCATGTGTCTGGATCAGGACACGTTTACCTGGGTATGATCGCTGCTTAATAGTTATGTATAAATATTGATGACAAAATAGGAATCGCACCGACGAGTGTGTTCTCAGTTTGGATTTCGTTTGGCTTGAGAAAAGATTGTATGTCGCTTTCATATTGTCCTTTACCATGAATGCCGAAATACCTGAACCATACAGACAATCTCATTGCAAGGAAGACAAAAAGTATATATTTAATTGTAGATCGAATGATTTCTTGCTACAGGTCTGATGGCTCTCCAAGGTCATGTTATCAACTCTGAAGTGTACGCCTGGGTTGCGGTGTTTGTCCTGCCGATCAACTCCGCTCTCAACCCCATCATCTACACCCTGTCATCAGTTGACACCATGAGAAACCGAAAGGTTACAATCTTCTCTTTTGTGTACATACTCTCATAAAAGTCATATACCAAATGATAATATATAATTCTGCAGATATAATGTTGGATTCGAGAGATGTTTCTTCCTTGCTTTAACTCTACTTTCAATTACGTATTTACAGCTAAACAGTGAAAAGAAGTTCTCAAGTACTACTCGGTCAACTGGTATGTGTTAAACCTTTGAATCGGTGACAAACAACATGAGCACTTTTGTTTTACAATGCTTGTATAGAAACATGTCCATGTTGAAATCCTGTTTTGTTCTATCATTGAAACTTCTTTATCAATAATATAAACTCAATTCAAAAGGAAAAAAAATCAAATTTGTCATGTTGAACCTTTTGTATATTACCAATTTGTTTAAGTACAAAACGTTTGTGTATTTTTGCTTACTTTTACAGTAAGGACAGGGTTGTCTGTCCCTCAGATTTTGCGAAAAGAACTCCTCTTCTTGAGCCAGCCCCCGAATTCGGTCTGCCTGTCCACTTACATCGGGTCACTGATGTCCGCCAGGCAAATGCTGACCATTGCTCATCAGTTAGCAGGCTCTATCGACCTTCTTCACTCCAATGGGCTGGTGAATGGTTTGGTGGAGACAGACAGTATATACGTTGTCCTTGATCAGGGGGTACGTATGGGGAAAATATGTATTCATGAACAAAACTTTCCGATCATGTTAGGTTGGTTGGTTGTTGTTTAGCGCGGCACTCAGCAATATTCCAGCTGTATGGCGGCGGTCTGTAAATAATCCAGTCTGGACCAGACAATCCAGTGATTATGAGCATCGATCTACGCAATGGGGAAACGATGTGTCAACCAAGTCAGCGAGCCTGACCACCCGATCCCGTTTAGTAGCCTCTTACGACAAGCATGGGTTACTGAAGATCAATTCTAACCCTGATCTTCACGGGCATCCGGTTCTGTTAAGATGTAGTTAATGTACATTCTGTGTCCTGTCATCTGGCGCATAAATCAGACTTTAACTGTTACAATTTGTGCAATTGAAAATTGTAACAATAGCACATGACTTCATATAAACATTTTCATTCAACAGATTATCAAAAGGGTGACTGCAGCATGTGTGCCCATAGCAACAGAAATCGAAGATGACTTCAGTAAGGATATCCGGGACTTTGGTCTTCTTGTGTCCAAGATGTTGAAAGCCTATACAGTTGCTAAGAAACAACATCTGGCAAAGATGGTCAACCAGTGACAAATCCCATTCCTTCAAACACGTGTCCAACTGATACGATACCGCCTCCCGACCCTACCTTTCTAATGGACACGATGACTAAGGCTATTGTGACATACAATAGACGTCTCACACAATAAAATCTGCAATATAACCAATGTGTGTTTTGTTGCTATTTCACAATACAGTTACACACAACAGGAGACCATTGGAATTGCTAGTTCTATGGGATTACAGCAGCTTATAATTAGGAGATAAACGTACTGTGTTTGGAAAGTAGATGAATGTTAGACCGAATTGATAGTGTCTAAATTTCATTTGAAGCTGAAATCAGACGCATTGTCAATCCAAAATGATACCGTCTGATTTTATTGATTGACGAATCAAATTCGAGCATTTCACGTAGCCATGGTAGAATAACATTTAATCCTGTTGTGTCTTATTCTGATGGGATGTTGTTGGCTGTGTCTGTAAAATGTCCCCTTTTAGGTCTATGAACCAGGATCATATAAAAAATTACATTTGATAAAAAAATATATATGTGAACCCATTGCACTTCAAATATTTTATGTATGCCAATCCATAGGGACCGTCAATATGGAGAACGATGAACCAGGTGGCGACCCTAAGTCTCATGAGTAGGCCGAGATTTGTAAGTCATCTATTTGAACAGGTGTAAATACATGTGTTTGGTTGTATCAGACACACGTTAATGTTCATGCAAGTCCGTGACAAAATTGGGTGTTGGTGTAGCCCATTGGTTGAAACGTTCGCTCGTCACGCCGAAGACCCGGGTTCGATTTCGATTTCTGTAAATTTAGGCATTGTGTTGCCTCAGGCGAGGCTGCATCGACTAAAACGCTCATAAATTCAATCGACAAGCACTGCAAAGATGAGAGTGCAAAGGAGGTTAGTATTTTGAAGATGTTGTACATTTGCTAGTTAAATACCAAAACTATGAAAAATATTAAAAGGAATATTTTAGGCACCGATGGATATAACCTAAAGCTAGTTTTATACTCAGTTATTCATTTAGTGTCTCAACACTGAAATTCTTAACTCATAGCCAAGCAAAGATTCAAATTGTTGAATGTTTTATACAATATATTTGGGACACCACTGGTTCATGCTTACGTGTGTACAAGTATGTACATGCATTCAGCATCTGCAATGCCTGTTTCCAGGAGCATTTACATAAGCAATCATATATATTTCATATGCGAAATGTTTGTAATAATCATTTCGATGCTCAACCTCGACAGAAATATATACCTTCCTGAATGTTCCACATGAGTGAGTGAGTTTAGTTTTACGCCGCACTCAGCAATATTCCAACTATATGGCGGCGGTCTGTAAATAATCCAGTCTGGACCAGACAATCCAGTGATCAACAGCATGAGTATCGATGTGCGCAATTGGGAATCGATGACATGTGGCAACCAAGTCAGCGAGCCTGACCACCCGATCCTGTATGTCGCCTCTTACGACAAGCATGGGTTACTGAAGATCAATATTCTAATCCGGATCTTCACGGGTTATTCCTCATGAGCTGGGGATGATAAGGATACATTCACAATCATTAACGATGTATAGTGATTTACTCATATACCAGCAGCAACAATCACAATGTGTCGCAGATGTTTACACATGTCGACTATTGATAGTATAGCAATGTGTGTATCTCATTCTTGTCAGTGAATCCAGTGTGAGATTAGATGTTCTAATTGCAATAACTGCTTTAACACGATCAATCCTCACTATAGTCTGTTTGCAGTGAAAACGTACCGATGAATTTCACTTTAAACAAAAAAGTAAATCGAATAAAGTGGAATTTTGTAGTGGAATCCTCATCATTTTACCTTGCCAAATGAACATTAAAATCTCAGAATTTTATTCAACTTAGGATAAAAGCTGTTTAACAAAAGAGCATAGTTTCAAATCGCTATTATTGGTTTGTATTACAAGACGGTATACACATTAAATGAAACACCGAGAACAAGAAGAGCTGGTCTAAGTTAACGCTCATCACGAACCGCACGTGCATTGTTTCACTGTTCCAACTACTGCGCTTACCCCCTTGTAATACAGACCAATGATAGAGATTTCAATGTATGATCGTAACAACTTTTATCCTAAGTTGAATAAAATTCTGAGATTTTAATGTTCAATTGGCAAGGTAAAATTATGACGATTCGTAATATTAATTTCACTTTATTTGATTTACTCTTTTTGTATAAAGTGAAATTCATCGGTACGTTTTCACTGCAAACAGACTATACACATCAATACATTAGCAATAGTCCGCATAAAAACATCAATCAAAATTTGGTAATATACAAGCCCATAAACAATGTGTTCTTGTCACCATGAGATAGTCGTATGTTTTGTTCTAAAATGTTTTGCTGTCACAAAGTAATATAAAATCAATTGACTATGTTCTTATTTATTGCTCTGTTTACAGCGAAATCTATATAGCACAAATTACATTGAACAGTCATGAATTACTGAAGGATGTTTGCTCACTGGTAATCCGTGTATGGTGATAAACACCAACAATATACCTTGCATGAAACTGTATTTGCTAATAGATAAATATAAACATATCTTTGTGTCTGTCATCATTCAGAATGTCATTGGTATTGTGCTTTATAGTATAGATGAGATTTTATAGAAAAATACAAGAACTACACAAAGAGCATCATTTGCAGATCAATTCCTTTGGGAAATAATCCTTCTATGCAGACTTTGGATTCCACAGTTTTATTATATGACAAAAATGTGACATTTGTAATGCAAAGCTCTCCTTAATGGGATTTTCAACCGAAATTTCAAACTGAAACGACTGAAAGTTTCTTTTAATTGTACACCGGTTTACCGTTGATAAACAAAGGCGGAAAAACAATCAACAGTGAAATCTATTTCTACATCGAACTTCACGTACTCGTCCGTAGCTATTTCACAAGCAATTGAAAAAAAACAAAAAACGATCACGCGATCCGCCACGTAGTATGGAGATCATACGCTAGCGAGTGATGGACTAAGTTACCATTTGGATATAAATACGTTGCCATATATCATCAGACATCTTAATCGATGCTTCTATAATGTTTGAGAGTTGATTTATTCAACGTTGAACGTAATCGTAATGGCTATGTCAGGTGACAGTAGTCTCGACAAGAGAGACGTAACATTGGTATTTTCTGAGGTTTCTCGTTTCTTCATTTCTTCGATTTCTATATACCACGCTGAAACATGCATGGATGTATCGTTTTCTTCCTTACATAAGGGCCAGTGGGGTTGCCAAGTGGTCAAGGCGTTCGCTCGTCACACTGAATACCCGGGTTTGATCCCCACATGGGCACAAAGTGTGTAGTCCATTTCTGGTGTCCCGCGCCGTGATATTACTGGAATGTTACTAAACCCAACTCACTCACTCACTCTTTCCAGAAGTGTTGTGTTGTTACACGTTTCTGCATGATATACGATCCTGTCCTCATATAAGCTACTGAACACATATTAAACATATGGCATGAACAGTGAATGGTGACAGTTGCCATGGGTTTTTATGATACCACACTCCACTATGATACCAAATTTCCTTTCAAAGATTTCAATATCTTCAAACGATATTCCAAGTACATCAGTCTCTCGGTATGGATTCTAGGTTTGCTGATGGCAGGGGTGCCTCTTTTGCCCATAGATTAATTTACAAGGTCATTCTACTCTCGATCAGGAGTCTCGCTCTACCGCTGACTAGGAACAGGCCGCCAGGATGGGAGTATTCCACCACCATCTTTGTCATCTGGAACTTCATCTGTTTTGTCTTCATCGCTTTGGGTCAGGCTGTTATCTACCAGGCAGTGAGAGCAAGTCAGAAGCTGAGAAAGGGGCGGACGACCAACGACATGACCATTGCTAGGAAGCTGTCCTTCATAGTTCTGACGGACTTTGTGTGCTGGTTCCCTATCTGTGTCATGGGTAAGGAATATTTCTCCACTGTAATACAATAACAGCCTGGTATATAGTTCTTCCAAAACCACCGAAGTAAGCGTTGCATTGTTGTATTGCATTGAAACTGCATTGTAATTAAAATAGCTCATTTGTTCAAACCTACAGAAGCAGACAAATACGAGTAGTACAACTTTATGCCTATTATCAAATTTCCCAACCACCATGTTTAAGGACACGAAACCCATCTACCGGTATATCAAAACAAACACATGTGATGATATCGGAAAACAATCGACCGTTCGTATGTACATTTTGGTTTGGAATGAATGAAGTTATTGATCAGAATAACATGAACTAGCACGACTCAAAGCCAATTAACGCAGACTTGCATTTCTATAACGTTCATAGAGCCTGTGGAAAACAATTTGTTCTATAGACGTTGACATAAATCCAAAGCTACTCCAAACTAGAGTGTGGACTAGGATTATCTGCCTTGTCTCATGGAAGAGAACACAGTCATTACTATTGTGTGCTGACGCCTTCCGTTTTGATCCTTCCTATTACATCTGAAAGGAGTATTGTTTCATACTTCTATGGACTCGACGAACATATGCAAAATTCATAAACAAAACTAATGGTAAAAGAGAAGTTTCATTAGGCCGTGAATCAACCTCATCAGCGACATCCATCTGGGCATTTCCGTATTTTACTTGTACCATACGTTCCCGTGGTTTGTTAGTATAGGAATACAGTTTACATGCCTTTGCATGTGTCTGGATCAGAACACGTTTACCTAGGTATCATCGCTGCTTAACTCTTTCAACACCAGTCAGCCAGAGGCATTGACTGCCATGACACCGAGATCCCAGAGACCCTGAGGTCATAGATGAAGCCTATGTTTATGAAGGAAATTATAAGCTTGCAAAACGTTATTGCTACTACATCCCATACACCATTTAAAAAGATCTAATCCTACTGTTGATAAACATGAAGTTTATTTTTATAATATTATTCAAATAATACAACTACAACTTAAATAAATGTATTTTTGAATGAAAATGCAAGCTTAC